AATAAGCTGTTTATTATATTTCATAATATTATAGCACAATAGAAGGCACACTAGGTGACAAAGCTGTTATGTTCCCACCAGCAGAGAGTGGAGAAGGCTGACTGAGTGGATCTCACTGTGGCAGCCTTTTCACCTCTTCTCAATGACTTTTGTCTTCCTTTTGACATTTCTGTGAGACTTCAAAGCATCCGTCTTTCTGGTCTTCGATTCTGTCCACCACTGTGTGCACAGTGCCATAGTGAATATTCATCAGGCTCTTTCTTTCAGACCTAGTGGGGGTCTGACAGCTGACAAAGTGATAGTGGGATGGGAAACTGTGGTACTGTGGAATATTATAAAACAACATAATCTTATATCAAAAAGTTTTAAAGTATTTTAAACAATTGTTGGAAGTTAACAGCTGTGTGTATCAAAACATAGACCATAATTCCCCCCAGAAAAATGTAATTAGAATGTCTCCCTCACCTGGAATAGGTTTTTGTGGCCTGACACAATTTTCTAGAATCACTAAAGTTTGAAATTGAGCTGGAGAATATGTCAGAATTTTATGGTAGAATTTATATCTCTATGGAGACAGCAGATGCCATAGGGCCAAATTACATGTCAGATCTGTGGAGAGGTGAGCCCACTCATAGTAAAAAAAACAAGTCTTTAAGTTGATAAACTCATTGTATTGGATAAATGCAAGATGTATATGTTTAAAGGCATATTGGGACATTCCAGACAAAGCAACAACATCTCCATGGAGACAAGCTGATAGCAGGTCCTCCCCCAGAAAAGTTACACAGTGCACCTACCCACAGATCAACCCTTGTCCTTCATCTGAAATTATGACATCATCAAATTACTAAATGTTAATGCAACCTGTGAAGTTGTAGTAGCCATCTTCCATTACTTATAATGAAGTGATGGAGTCAGATTTGGATCCCAGATGTTTTTTTCACTATTACAACCAGTTTGTGCATTTGGGGTGGACAGCTGTGTTGCTACAGTAATAAACTTTCATTGACAGCACCTTTGACTGTGAGCTGCTGAAAATCTCCTAATTTCACAGAGCTGAGTGTCAGATGGACTCCAGCTGGAAGATCGCTCAAGACGCACATTCCATGTCCACTCCACAGCGATTTCACCAACTAGATTCAGTTGGTCGAGCAGGTTCGCACATACTTTATACAGACGTGAATTCTATTGTTTTGAATGTGATGAAGGCGGGTGAATGAAATCAAAAACTGTCATGGCCCATTGTGACATTACTGCTTGTATTATTGCAAGGTCTCTGTTTCATGAAGGGACATTTTGCTTATGAAATAGAGATGGTGATTGAAAATAAATTAAGAGTGCTCTGACTGTGAGAGGTCATAATCTGGACTTTCAGGAACCACAAAACAAATCCCATGTAATCTCCAACTTCACTTTACAGTACATCTATCAGATCCGAAAGTTTGTCCATGGACAGATGTACAGATTTTTTAAAATCATATTTTCCCCATATAATTTAATTCAGCTTTATTGTGGTTTCATGGTTCAATTTAAAATGGGTATCCACTAACAAAAATATATATAAAAATATGATTATACAACTGTTTCAAGGGTAAACATAAATTGATACCTGAAATAATAACATGCAAGTGATTGGGCTGGGTGAATTGTGATTCCTGTGACAATATCTTATTTTGGTGAAATTGTCATGTTGTAACTCAGTGCTTCTCTGTTTAATTTAGCTCTGTGATCCAACACAATAGTTTTCCCACCCACTCCCACTATTGGCTAGGCTTTGTCGTACTGAAACATTGTTTTTGGCTGAAAACCAGCCAAAAACAGTTTAGCATTGGGGTGTCTCTACACTGTATGATCACATTCACTGCTTTCTATTTGTGTGTTTATATTGGAAAAAGGATTTCACTCATTCTTATCATGAATCACTTTTACACATTCACTTTTTAGTGGACGTCGCTAACAGATACAGAGTCTGTGTTTTACATCACAGCATTTGTCTAATTATAAATGCAGCTCACCATTTGATTTTCTATTAAAGTATTCCACTTTTCTGCCTCTATATACCCAGTCCCACTGATGGAAGACTTTCTCTGACTTCATCAACATCATCAGGTCTGGCTTGTGATGACAAACACTTCAGTCTCTTTTTGTGTGAAATATAGAAAGGAAACGATAGAATGGATTTTATGAAAAGGGTAATTTTGAAATAGTTTGCCCCACTTTAGCCTGCCTCTGCCCCTCCTCCCTCGTCCTGCCCCCTCCTCTTCCTCTCTGTGTTGTGGCTGAGGATCTCCCTGCTGTGCGTTTGATGGAGCGCAGAAGGTGCACTGACCCATTCACACATCGCTCCTATGGCCTCAAACAGACTTATCGCACTTAACAAATCAGCAGAGACAGCCTCAAAGTTTGACTACTGCCAAACTATTTTACTGATTTTTAACTAGAATAAATTAATTATTTTATATGGCCTGTGTGTGTGCAGTAATTGTACAACAGATTAGCTTAAATGTATACTGGAGGCATTTCATAATACGACCTCGTTCTGCCATCCGGGCTTGAGACTGGCACACAGCATTGGTTTGTATTGAGTTGAAGGTATGTCCTCCAATTTAAGCAAAGTAGTTTTCGGCAATTACTGCTAACTAATTTACTTCTGCCATTTTTTTCTCAAAGATCTTAATACTAACTACTTCTTCTACTTGATAATAATCCTACTGTGACATTGGGGCCTTGCACTCATTTTGCCCCAAACTTTGGTATGTGGAACTAATTTAGACAGAAGGTGAAAAGACTATAAAAACCCTACATAGATTTTCTCTTAAACAGTTCTGAAACAAAGACGCAACTTCAACTGTAAATTTTCTGGTGGAGGCCAGAGCTGTTTTTTGCTTTTTATACTGCAGAACATTCCAGGCAGAGGAAGCAGGTGTCAAAAAGTTACATCGCGCACCTTTAAGTAATTTCTAAAAATGTTGAAGTTTCTAATTAAAACATGCTTGACCTATGCACTGGGAGGACAGGTGCAGGGTGCTGAGAACCTTTCAGTGATCCCACATTTGTTGTTTTGTCACTCTGCTCCATTAACTTCCTCCACTCTTTGTGTCAAACCAAACAATTTGCCAATACAGTGTGATTCTAATTCTACTGTGTGGTTTTCTATGGACTTGATGTAATCCGTCTAATAGTGCCTGTAATCCTCTTAAGTTGTTACTCAAATGAATGTCTCACCTCTGGAATGCGTGTGTTGTGTATGGGGGCTGTTGTGGTGCAGGGTAGGTTGCGTGTGTGCCGGATTATTGGGCCAAAGTGTGGAGCACGTTGGTGGTGCCTGGAGGTGTGAGGTCTAGTCACCTCTGATCACCTGATTCCCAAACAGCCACACAAGTGCTAGTGTTTGGCCAGACTGTTCACACACTTCAGCCCTGTCATTAGCCCCATTAGGAAAAGCACACGACAAATGGGTGTTAATTAGTCTTAGTTAATGGGTTTCAGAACTGAATCCTTTGCTGTTTCATTGAGGATGATGGTCAGAAGGTGTACGGGTGAGCAATAGATCGGATTATCGATTATACTGTGAATGCTGTTTTGAAAACTTGCTAAATCTTATTGGGTAAAATGAGCAGATTAAAAGTGGAAGTGGAGCATATGTAATATTTTAGAATAAATTAGAATATAAGTGATATTTCTACACATTTTTGACCCATTTACTGTCCTTTCTTATTTATATGTTTATCATTATCATGAAACTCAAAAAGAAATTCAGACATTCATTCTTGTCAAAAAAAATTAAGACAAAAAGAAATCATTGCTTGCTTAAATAACAGCTCATAAAGACAATCTATAACTTGTCTAATTTGTTACTGCTTGAGTTCTACCTTAAACCCAAAATGCATTGGTGAACTATAGTTGCCCTATGTATTGGTTGCATGCTTGACCTGACGTACTGAACTCTGCTCAATTCCTCAAATGTTTCCATGATAAAAACTTTACTATGCTTATACTATGTTTATACTATGCTATACTTTACTACACTTTACTATGCTTTACTCTTTACTCTCTCCTCTATTCCTTAACATCTAAACCTTTAATATTGTAACTTCTTTTTCAATTTAGCATGCTAGGGATGTCAAAAAATATATACCCAAATACTATTTAGTACTAAAATTTGTAACCAAAAAGTGTTATTATATACATTATAATCAAACCAATATTGATATTGAAAATAAAATATCAAAAGTAGGTTTGACAAAATTTGATGTCCCTTGAAAACTTTGAAAGGGTTGTTTAACTTTACCAGACATTGTATAAGACCACAGGGTAAAAAAAAAAAAAAAAAGCAACTACAGTTATTTTAGTGACGCATAAAAAATGAAAATCAGCTTTGATATTTTAGTATGGTGACAACACAAACACAGAGGATTTACCCTTGTTGGCCTGAGTTGGCATGCTATTTCAAACTGACCTTGCCATGATTAGCCCCAGGGCCAGACTTTGGACATTCTTGCAACACTGTGATACTTAAATTATTCACGTGGGTACAATGTATATTTATTTTGTCAGTATTTGTTGCCTGTATAAGTATCTAGTTTTACACTTCTTTAGCCTCATGACAATCCTCCTCCTGCACTTTCCATCTCTCCACAGGATTTTCATATACCTCTCCACACCACAGTATATGTACCCTCAGCCCACTGTTTATAGACCTTACCCTGATCACCGCCCGTGTGTGTCCCTTTTGGCATGCGGTTGTGTTTGTGCGCCCGTAGCCATTCTTCATAATGCCTTTCAGTGGAGCCTCTCTCACCTCATTCAAGCCTCGTTCACCCTTGTTGCCCCTGATCCACGCTGCTTTCATTTCTGCCTATGACTGATGTGAGAATGTGTGTGAGACCCCGTCCCCCTCAGCTGTTGCCCCGTGTAGTGCTAGTGGTCACAAAGAGGGCTGGACAAATCTCCGGCAGGCGGCCACTCTCAACACCTCTCCTTCCTTCCTTGTGTTCCAGTGTCTTAGGCTGTCTGTCAGTGGAGAGAGGAGCACACTCAGCTCTCTGGCTCTGTGCAAGCCGAGGATATAAGGTGTCCACTTGGAGGATCTAAAGAAGGAGAGGAGAGGCAGAGCGTGTTGGTACGGAGAGAGGGGGCATGATGCTGGTCGGGTGGCAGCCATGGGACCTGGCCTGGCAGGCAACGCTGCTCTTCATTGGACTGGCATCTCTCAACTGTGGAATAGAAGGTGAGTGAGGTTTTGAATTGTTGTGGGTTGCAAAGTTTGAGGTCAATTTTGTGTGATGTTTGTTTACACATTTTGCATTAGAAGTGAAAGTGAAAAGTGATATATGAAGTGACTCTTACCTGTACTGTGTAAAAAAAAAAAAAAAAAAAAAAAATTATTTATTGTAATGAAACTGTAAAATACATTTAACATGGCTTAGAAATGTCTTTGTTTGGGTTACTATGTGGGTATTAAACTATAGTTCTTGTGTTAAATAAATGAAAGCAAATAAGGTAAATTATATTGACTGGATAGACAGATTAGATTAGATCATATAGATGATAACGCTACAAACTCTGCATTTGTGTAATTTATTGATATTTTGGATTATATATACATTATATTATACTACATTGTACATTTTGATTTTAATCTTATTTAAGTTTTCAAATTTGCTTTATTTATTTAGTACATGAAATATGAGAAACTAGGCAGGGATGAAAAAAAAAAAAAACAGATTTTTTTGGGAGTAATTTCACTGACTTAACCATTTTCACAGCTGGTTTACACACTTCACACATGTATTATTAGGTGACAGTTTAATTGCCTTCTATTTTTCTAACTCAACTCGTGGCATTTATGATGAGCAAAGTCTATTCTTACAATCTCCAGCGTGTGCCCTGATATCTTCCACTACCAACCCCCCCTTTCGACTCTCATGTTTTGAATTGTTTTGGAACTAACCACCAGTTGTCCCTTTTTACAACGAATGCCATTAATATCTTCCTCGTAAAAGCGCAGCAGGAGGAGACCACTTGTGCTCTGCTAAGTGTCACGGCAGAGAGAAGTCAATATTGCTATAGATTGGTGGATTTGTGGCATCGATTGGGTTATCCTGTCTGGACACAACATAGAACAGAGCCAGTGCTGGTGATGAATGTGGCCAAGTATACAGTCTGCGAGGCCTTACTACATGTCATACTGGGACTGTCACTGCATGCACTCGAATGATGAATTATGTACTATGTTTTAATTATGCTTTGGACATAGGTGTCACGCTCTTTGGATTTTGAGGTACTCCATATTACTGTAATGACCTTATAAGGAGGAGGTGTTTTTTGCTATTTATTTTTTGTGGATTCATACTAATTTTAGAATATACTGTAGGCCTAGGAACCTCAATGTCTGCTACATTTGCTTTGCACATTAAAATTGGAAACTACAGGTGTGATATGTAAGTAAATAGACTTTAATGGTAATGTTAGTCCCAATCCATAGGCTTCTAAATGACAGTGGCTGTAGCAATTAACAATTTAAAACAATGATTAATTTTTTTGAATATAAAAACTGCTCAGAATGTTACATATAACAGGAACTTGAACCCATTGGAGAAATATTTGTACTTGAGGTAAATTAACATTAACTCTAAAATGTGTAGTATTTGTTTCCAGTAGATATATTTTAGAAGTAAACTGCTTTCACCAGACTACTTCCATTTATGTAGAGTAAATTAGGAAGGTTAGCGTTGAAAAACAAAGACATTATGCTGTCAAAACCCGACAGCATTTCATAATGAATCATTGTGAGTTTTTGTTCCGACTTTTTCCTTAGACCTAGCTACTTCTCTTTTCTAGTCCATTTCTGTGAAAGTGCATTGATTGAGCTTTTCAGAGTTTGCTGCAACTTTCACACTTTGTCCTCAAATACCTCAAGTGTTCAAGTAATTTTTTTCTCTCAGAATTTCTGTCTCTTCATTATTCAAAATCAAAAGGATCAGATGTTTTGGACCCTCTGTGTTACACTTCATTTATTGTTAAATTGCATTTTATTTTTATTTTGTGGTAATGGTAGACTGGGATTGTGTACAAGTTTGAGATATGGACTAAGTGGTCACTAAACAAAGCAATCTTTAGTTTCTTTTTCATGTTGTATCTAAACTTCTCTGATATTTTAGGAGTGTGTTAAATGGGTAAAACATGTGGGTAGCCATAAATCTTGGTAGCATGGTTTTTGTGGCACCTGTTCCAGCCTGGGGGGTTAACATGGGGGTCAGCTGTGCAAACCAGTGCACTAATCTACATAGAGAATGCATCATTATTTCAACTGTCAATAACTGGTACAGGCTCCAAGTTCTGCAGCACGTAATGTTTGTGTTCTGGAAATAGTGCTCTATGTCAGCGCGTCTCTATTTGTTTCTTTATTACAGCTGGTGGTCAGCTTTTAAAGGACAGCCTTTGAATGAGGAGTGTTTTTTTGAGATATTTATTCCTAATTTAATATCCAGAAGACATCAGACTTCAGAGATGTGTTGGGAGATGTTATCCAAATTTGTACTCAAGCTGTCAATGTTGTAAAAGTAGTCAATAAAATATTAGTATGAAGCACAAAGACATAATAATAAGTCTCCCATCCACATACTTAAGAGGCCCAACCCTGCTTAGCTTCCGAGATCAGACAAAATAGGCATATGATTTGGGTATGATTTTCATGTTGATTGTCAGACAATGTTTTAGATCTATGCCCTTTTAAGGCTAGAAAAGTGTCTGGGGTGTCTGTTCCCTGTGGGTTGAATAAAAGTCAAGATTTTGTTTAAGTATGTTAAATGTGCACTGCGTAACATTTCTTGTGGAGTGGCTGCTACCTGCTTGTCTCCATGGAACTGTTATTGCTTTGTTTAGAATGTTCCACAGTATAGATTAATCCTAGCTATTACAAGCGAGACAAGCAGGTTACAGCACTACACTACATTACAATTCAGATCTGTGGAGAGTTGTCTCTATGCACAGAAAGAATTACTGTATTTTTGAGCAATAGAAACACCTGAAATGGATATGTTTAAGATCATACCATGAAACATTCCAGGCAAAGCGATAACATCTCCATGGACCTTCCACCAGAAAAGTTGTGCAGTGCACCTTTAAATGTTGATATTGCAAAAGCGATATAGCATGTTATAATAAATGGTCATGTTATTTCTTAGCTACTGCTTTCTTTGAGACGTCCATCACTTTCCTTGTACAACTGACTAAACATAAAAACAACAAAACAACTTCCCTCCCAGTCTGTTTTACTTCTTTTGAAAGTGAGCTCCGCGCTGTCTGTTTTGATGACATTGGGTGTTGTTGATGAGGTCACAGCGTGGTCCGGTGCAGCAGCAGTTGGCCCTGAGTGGATGGGGACGTCCAGCCTCATGTGCGCTGCTTCCTGTCAGGATGTGGATAGTGTTCCCCCTCAAACAGAACCTGATCTCCATGCAGATGTGAGGCTCAAGCAGTCAGCCATGGGACAGGCAGGGCAGCCGTGTGTGTGGAAGTGGATCACTGTAACATGGGCCGTCACAGCCTTGTCACACTGGTTAGCTTTACAGTCGGATTGTTCCAGTGATAGTGTCGATTATTCATTTTTAGGCACAAACATATAAGCATTATCATTGAAATGGGTTGCATTATCATTGTAAATAAGATAAAAGTTGAATGGTGCATTATGTAACTTTTCTCCTGGAGGATCTGGGACCTGCATATCTCTTAAGTGAATGTTATTTCTTTGCCTAAATGTCCCATCATATGCTGTATATATACATTTTCCTCATGGAGAGCCATGGGAGTTTAAATTATTTTTGCCATCCCTAGGCTGACTAGAACAAAAACTTGAAGTTGTATTATCTCTATAACATCCCTATAACATAAACCATTATTCTTGAGTAATATTTCTCAGACTTTACCAAAATTCCAACAAGTCCAATTATCCCCTAACCCTACTCACCCAAAGAATCACAGAGGAATAGCTGTGGTTAAGAGGAGAAATAAAGATTTGTTGCTAATCCAAGTTTATAACAACATTAATCATGGACTATTAAATAATTTGCTTCATCAGCCTCTGTTCAGAGCACATTGCAGCTTTGAGTCAAAACAGAAGTCCCCTTTTTTGGCTACAGTGGCTTGGTGTGGTGACACTTAGGCTCTACTCTGTCAGTGCATTTGTAATGGAGCCCAGCATTAGACAGTGGCTTGTGGCTTTTTCCAGTAAATCCAACCACATGGACAAATGAACCAGCAGTGGGCTCACTAAATGGACATTTGTGGAGGGACAGTGGTTTAGTAGGTTAGTAAGTAAAGACGTGAGGTGGTTTTGGAGCTTTTTAGATGGATCAAATACACACGGTTTAGTGCCTATCGCTGCCTGTGGTTTGACTGATAACGTGATTTATGTGCACTTTCATTGTATAGATTTGAGAAAGTCCATTATAATCATATTGTATAGTATCTGATATTTTAACAATTTTCTGCTTGACTATTTGTGCTAAAATTGTTTCTGCAGCACAGTGGGAAGGGGAGACAAGAACCAAATCACTAATGAAAAGAGATTAGTTTTGTAAAAGGATCAAATGTTATAGTTTGGAACATTCCAGGCAAAGACATAACTATGGAGCCAAGCAGAAAAGTTACAGAATGAACCTTTAAGTAGAAATGTTGTTACTTTGCACAACTGCCAGTTTGTCTGCCTTAAAGCACTCTGTTGTGGACATAGCAGCTCTGTGTTGCATTGGCACCTGCACGAGAAGGTTAAGTGTGCAGTCCATAAATCCTGCTGTTGCGCGGTGTCTTAGGGGCGTGGCTAATCCCAAACAGAACCTGAGGCCTGGTCACGGTGAGTAAACAGGGAACAGGTTGGAGCTAACACATGACTTGTTGTGGTGCGTAAGGCTCGATGGATGATGCTGCTCTTTGAAGGCGGCAGGGGGCTAAGAGCTGAGGTGCAGGGCAGGATGTGCGCGTTGATTTGGGTCAGAGTGCATGCTGGGATGTCTTCTTTGAGGAGGTTTTTTTCATCATGGACACCTGGACCCATTTATTTACGCTTTTCTGTGTGCATCCATCTTAGAGCTGTGTTGTAGTTGCCATAGTTACAATATGTGCAGATTGTGAGCAACCATTTTGCTGTAGCAGGGCTGTGTTGACAACTTATAATAAATCTGTAAATAATAACGAACTGCAGTGGTTACTTTGGGTTGTGAAAGCAGTAGTCAAAGATACTCAGTCCTTTCTGCGTTCAGTTGTTGAACAGTCTGATTCATGTGCCCTTCCTAGATACATGGAGAGGGTACCTCCAAAACACAAATGTTCTAGGGATGCATTGGTTTGTATGTAACACTGCATTCACAAATACATTTTGAGAGTACATTTTTTTAGTTAGAGACGCAATTGCTTGCATCTGCAAAACTATTAACTAAAAGAAAAACTGAAAAGTTCTTGTTATATTTAACAAATTACCAACATAGATAATTGTTGTAAACTAATTTAACTATTGCTTAGTTAAATATTACAATAGATTTGCAAATGTATGTTTTCATTACAGCTTACTTTCCAGTGAGTAAACTTTCCATTGAAATGTTTCATATTTTCCAACCATGATTTACCCCTGTCAGATCCACTCTGTGTTAATAGCACTATTTCTGTCTCACATTGATTTCCAATTGTTTCATAATGGAGAAAAAATCCAACACAATAATAGGATTTGTATTGATTGCTTGTGTCTGTCCACTGGAGCTCATCTCCGCGCAGTGCATCATGGTTAAATTGTCTAACTCACTCTGTTTGGGACTACTTTACATGTTTACATGTTTGTAAAGTAAAGTAAATTCACAAATTCACTTTTGTAGTGGGACATTAAGTCTGGCACACAATATACTTACAATAGACGCCAGTTGAAAGGAGGCACTTATGTTAATAATCAAGATCACATTTTACAGCTAGCGCCATGCAAAACTCCTCCATTTTTGTCTTGAAAAAAATATACCACTGCTTGTGGACAATGCTTTTTGATCAAAATTGTATAAGTGCAAGTTGACCCTGTAGTGAAGTACATGAATTTCATGTTTGCATGTATTACTTGTTTATCATCTTAACAGCCATACTGCTCAAGATGGATGGAAACTGATAATTAGCTGTGGTGACCTCTGGCGAAGGTGGCAGAACATGAAACCAACAAAATGGGCATCTGGGGTAAAATCATGCCAAATGAATCAGCAATTCATCAACATGAAGACTGCTATAAATCTGTGGGGCTGATTTTAATGATTTGATGCTGCAACTACTCCAAAGAAAAACATATAAAATATATCTTGAGCTCAGATTGATTTGGTTTTAGTAATAGGGCATTAAATGGTTAAACACAATAATGATCCATCAGCCAAGAGCATAAACTGCATCAGAGCCCACACCAGCTGGGACACCTCAGTCCATACACATCCCCGCAGAGTCCGTGTAAATTGGTGTGATAGCGGTCAACATGGAGCAGCCTGTGGAATGTGGGGGTGGGGTGTGGGGGGCAGATCAGGTTTCGGGGTGACCTTGTGTGTGCCCCAGAGCTGACACAGCAACTTGTGTGTCTCTGTGTGCGTCCACAACAAGAAGGTAGAGCTCTGAAATATAATAACTATAATGTGATCTATGACACACATCACCTTCTGTTATTTTTATATAATCTATCTAGTAAGTATAATATCTAGTATAGACTGTATCTAGTCTATTGCAAGTGAGAAAGTAAAGACCAACAAACTAACTACAGTTATTTAAGTTACATACTGAACACTGGAAACAAAACATCTCATTTCATAATCTTCCATTTTATAATCTATATACATAATCCTACATGATGCATATTATTCTTGTATTCATTTCTTCGGTCAGATGTTAATTCTCTGAATTTAGATTTAAAGAAATAAATTGAAAAGTACAAAATTGTGCAGTGCTAGTTGGGACTCCCGAGATAGGCTTGTATTTCAGTGAGAGAACAAGTGCAGAAGATTAAGATGCAGTGTTAGAGGAAGTCATCCGTTGAGAGGAGCGTGGCACAACACTGTTCAGCCCTGTGACCACAGAGGTCTATAGAGACCGGCCGCTGTCAGAGCCACTTTATCTGCCTCATAGCCCACGCACATCTCACTCTGATAACAGCTATGGCTTCGGAATAACACTTTTTTTCTTTGTACTTTCAGGCCCTTAATAGAATACTATTATTTGACTGTTCTTTAATATACTATTTTTGGATTTATTTTTTTCAAAATCCATACATAAAAATCTATCATTGTGAATCATTGTGAAAGAGAGCCTTGCCTTGAAACATCCATTCATTCCAACATTTTGTGCTTAGTCATTTTAGACCTCAATTTTGCACTTGATAAAGCCTTTATCTTGTGGCTTTGCCTTGTGACTTTTGTGACTTCATTGTAAAATACTGTCTCCATGGAGGTGGTCAAATTTCCACCTTCGAAGCTTGCCTTTTCTGCTTGCTTCCATCCCCTCCACTGTGGCATGCTCTTCACTCACATGGAATAAAATCAAAAAGGTGCAAAAAGCAGTGAAAATGGTGTCAACAGGAAACTTAAAGGTTTTATATTAGTGAGTGATGTATTTTCAGTAAAAACACCTTTGGTACTTCCCCTTGCGCACATACAAACCCAGCACAATGAGCTCTTTCTGGACAGCTCTGTTATTCTGCGCCGGGCCTCATGCAGGTACATTGAGTCTGGGCCAGAGCAGCAGGGTGGCTTTTAACAGAAAATACTCACATTTTCTGTGGATCACATCACCATGGCTACAGTTAAAGTCACTGATGCCATTTTATAAAATCCACTTAATTAGTAGGAACGTTGCCTGGATCTTTACTCATGTGGTGAGACCTGTCTAAAGTAGTCTTTGTCTTTCTTTAGCTAACCTGTTGGATGCCATGCTGCTGAGGAATGGCTGGAAAGGAGGAAAAGAGAAGAGGATAGAGGAAAGCAGTGTTGCCACAACCGTGTCATCCAAGAACATGCTCTGGTGTCACTGCAACCACCACTGTCCAGAAGATTCCTTCAACAACACCTGCATGTAGGCTACTTTGAATAATTTGTAAACATGTAAATACACCATTTAGACAGAACATTATGATCACTTGCCTTTTACTTGCATAAGTAATCGACCAAGTGATTCAATTTGACTCAACATTGTATTTCAGTGCTATAAAGTTATGCTAATGCTCTTGCTAATGTGTGCTGCAGGACGGATGGATACTGCTTCACCATGGTGGAGGAGGAGGAGGGGGGCATGGCAGTTGTCACGTCGGGTTGTTTAGGCCTCGTAGGCTCAGAGTTTCAATGCAGAGTAAGTTCTTTTGTGTACATCGGCAGCTTGATGCACTTGCCCATGTTACTGTCTCTATCACCAGCTGCTGTTAAGTACTAATGGGTTTTACTTGACTTACAGCAGTACTTTATGAGACTTGTGAAGTACCTATAAACACAGAGCAAAGTGGAGTGTAGGAGGCTATAATTAGGAACCCCTAGTAACCCAAGACTGACAGCAGTAGAAAAACATAAACAACATAATGACTGAATAATTTAAAAATATAATACAATTTGTACAGTTTGTATGACATGATGAACAGCATTACACAGGGCTGTATGGCAATATCTAGGTACTAGCAATACAAGTGAATCAAATACTTTTTAATTGTTGTAACATATTTGTTGGGAGGTTTTCTGAAATTGTTTTGCTGTGACTATGAAGACAAAAAATGTACAAAACAGTACCATATTTTCCGGGCGATTAGGCGCGGTCTTAAGCCTCCAAAAACGACTGCGCGCCTTATAATCCGGAGCGCCTTTTATATGAATTTACGCGAGTGTTCCAGTACAACTTCAGTAAACGACAGAGCCGCACCACTTGCAGCATTACGACTACCGTAGTCAGGAGCAACTCTGAGTAATACGTATTGTGATTCCTAATTTTTCCCGTGGACGAGGAAAAGACGAGCGACTGGCTGCGAGAAGTTTACCTTGAGAGACCGGATGGCTTTTTCCACACATCTCCGTCCCTATTGATCTGCAACTCCAGCGCAGTAACAGATTGTTGTCCAGACGCAGCCGCGATTCATTTTCGAATTATTTTACCAACAATGGCCAATACAGAGAATGTAATACACGAAGGTCAGAGCAAGTACCAGTGTGCGAACATGTGGCTCCAGAGTGAGTCAGAATTGGGGGTGTGTACGTCTGTTCACGACCTGCACGCACACAGAGGTCCCGGTGTTCCCCGTGATCATGTACCAACCAGCATTTGTTATTTTAGGCTTTAATAATTTTATGGCAATAGCCTATTCAATTGATACAACTTCAAAAAGTCCCTGCTTTTAGCCTAGTGTGAAAAATACAGTCGGACTAGATCCAAACCATAGTCCCGAACCAGCGGGGGCAGCTCCGGTTCAGGCCGGGCTCAGAGGAGCTGGAGCGGGGAGCCTCGAACTGAGGGAGCGCTTTCCAAATGCGAAGAACCAAATGCGCGGAGGACGGACGCTCAGAACAACATATAACAAACCAAACTGGACTCACGCTTCTGTCCGGATGCTGCACCACCTCGGAACCTGTCGCGGTTCTTGAGCGCGGAGAACCAGAGCAGCGCACCCGGACCTGTAGTCCACAGCGCATTCTTGCTTTTCCTGCACGGAAACAGCGCACAGACGACGGAATGTACCCGCTCGGACTCAGTCCATCAAGCACTGGTCTTGCTCGCCACCGTCTGGAACCAGCACATGGAGGATGGAGCCTCCGGACAATCTGACCAACGCGCTTGTAGGACGACAGAAGACCAAGGACCAGACCCCAGCCCCGTCCTGAGGAGCTGCGCGCTACGGTGAGCGCTGTTGGCTGCTGCTCTTACCCGAACTCTGGGCTGATGCGGTGAGTTTGTACAAAGTTCTACATGTTGCTGTGCTGAGTTCATGATGATAAGCTGAGATGAGGACGGCCCGTGGTATTAACAGGAACATCGGTGTTGATAACTGGAGGTATCGCTGTTTTCCCGGGAAACAGAGGCTCCTCAATCGAACCTTTGCCGATGTGAAAGCGGGCCACACTGGAGTGTATTTACTACATAATAACAATTTTATTGCCTGGTGCGGACCAAATAATCGAACTAGCGGTGTGAAAACGCCCTAATGTGTTATTTTTAGTAATAACCGAACAATTATGAGTTATTGTGAATACGCTGACAATTTATCGGTCTCAGACAGTTTTTTGTTTTTTACGTGTTACAAATGAACAAAGTTGAGAGTTAACGTAACGAGTAAACGCGTTGAATAAAGTTTGACTGATTTACCTAACTGCTGTGTTTCGTTTAACGCGCCTTGTAGTCCGGTGCGGTTTATATGTGAAAAAGTTCGGGAAAACGACAGTGCGTCTTATAACCCGGAGCGCCTAATCACCTGGAAAATACGGTAGGTTAGTTAGGGTTCACGAACGGGAATCAAAAGCACGTTTTGCTTTTTTCAGGTACTTACTATTGTTTGTTGATAATTACTTAATTGTAAACTCCAATATTATTAAGTAACCCTATGTGTGTATGAGTTCGAGTCATAATTTTTTGGAGACAGGGGGTAGGTGAAAAAGATATTTAAATGACTTGAATTCAGGACATTGCAAGATTACTTGAACATGTATGAATCCCAAATAAAACTGTGTAAGCTAATGATACGGTAACACAGTTACAACATGGTTAAATGCTCATACAAGTTTTAAGTCCCCTTTAAATTATTGTATTGTATTACTTTTTAAATACAGCTCAATTTATGGTTAGTACCACATACCTCTTTCTAAATATATTCATCCCTGTACATGTTTATTTTTCATGTAGGATATGTGGAATGGGCGTCTGAGGAAAACCCTGGAGTGCTGCACAGACCGTGACTACTGCAACAGAGATTTACATCCTACTCTGCCCCCCATCAGCACGTCCGGTAAACCTCTCTACCTCACTCTTTCCCACACTCAAACACTGCTCTGGTTAAACCCTGGACTACTTTTGGGAAGTTGCTCTCTCAGACCGTTTGGCACTTGATGACTAGTGACAATTTAAAGTGTTACAAACCACAGCTTGGCGCAGTGTGGAGTGGTCCTTATTGCCTGAGAAAGGAGCAGGTGAAAGGGAGCCTGCAGCCTTGGCTTGTTCTCTCACCCTCTAATGAAAAGGACAGCCTCTCCCCAGGGCCTGCTTGAGTTTCGTGCCCTGAGACGGATGTGAGCTATCTGTCCATCTGTCACTAAGCAACACACATCGACACTGACACCGCATTATCTCATGATGCCAACGATCATCAGTTTCACATTTGCATTCACTATTAGCATATCATTGTGTACTAACTCAAAACGCCACCATTGTAGTTGCATTGCTTCTTTTGGCCCATTCCTTTTGGTGTAAAAAAAACACATATAATTATTAAAATCCAGTTTCCCAAAGACCATAGTCTGTATATATGTGTATATATATCTATATAGATGTTACAGACTCGCTTCTAGGATTAGTCATTATTTACAGATAGTGTTGCAGAGTAACTTTTATACGACCCATAACAATCAAGCTAGTTCTTAAACTTTAACAAACTAAAAACACAATTACTGGTCTATGTCATTGAGCGTGCAGTCATGATTGGAATGACTCTGAAACAAAAATTAAAGTCTCAGTTAAGATGGCTGACACATAACAAGCAATTTTCTTGATTGTTTTCTAAATTTTCACTCCCAGTCTGTGTCTGTGTTTTTTAACTCTCTTGACTGACGGCAGCACTGCAGAAAGGCTAGAGGCCCAGAGCAGCCGCACGTCCCTAGGGTTTCCATAGCGATGTCCGTGTGACACCTGATCTGTGAGATTCAGGAAGGAGATGTGATCGATCACACGCAGTGGGACGGGGCAGGGGGCAGAGGGGGAGAAGAGTGAGGGGAGAAAGGACTTGTCCCTGCCAGTGAGAATTAGACTGATGCTGAACCCTGATAACAGGAAACAAGTGACTGTCAGGAGCTATGCATCAGCTCAAATTAGAGGACAAGTCTTTCTCACACTGGGCTAATTATTCACCCAAATGTTTGTTTTTTTATAGAATACATGGACAGCAGTATCCAGTACATGGCCCTGTGCATTTCAGTCACAGTCTGCAGCATCATCCTGGGTCTCATTCTTCTCTTTTGCTACTTCAGGTCAGTGTTATAATAACATTCAATCAAATCTCCCAATCATTAATCTATTAAAACCATTAAATAAAACATGTACTCAATCGCATCACCCCATGTTTGTATAGATACAAGAGGCAGGAGTCCCGGCCACACTACAGTATAGATTTGGAGCAAGATGAGACCTACATTCCACCAGGGGAATCACTCAAGGACCTTATAGAGCACTCCCGCAGCATGGGCTCAGGGTCAGGCTCAGGACTCCCTCTACTGGTAAGAAATAAACACTGCAACATCAACTCCTGTTCATTACCAAGTTGCAAGAAAAAGTGCTTTTCATTGTTCACACAATTCAATGGAATTTAAAAATATAGATTTGTAAAACAATGTTATGATTAAGCTATTATAATATTTGAATTTATAGGCTTCAAGATGTCTCACAGAAAAAAAATCTATCAATAATTTAAAAAAAGAAGTAATCATAATGAAATTACCAGTATAATATTAGCAGGTTTTTACTGTTGTTCAGTATTTTAAACAATTATTTATTTAATTTCTTATGTGAGTAACAGCTTCTATTGAATGTAATGATGCATTTCAACACCTTCATTAATATTATATTTTCGGTTTTAATTTTGTGTTATTGTGTAATCCTAGGTGCAACGTACAATCGCCAAACAGATTCAGATGGTGAAGCAGATCGGAAAAGGCCGCTATGGAGAAGTGTGGATGGGCAAGTGGAGAGGGGAGAGGGTGGCCGTCAAAGTGTTCTTTACCACAGAAGAAGAAAGCTGGTTTAGAGAGACGGAAATCTACCAGACCTTTCTGATGAGGCATGATAATATACTGGGTAAGATTTAAAAGTAATAAAAACCTGTCTGGAAAGCAAATTATATACTGATTTTAAGGAATCTAGACAGATTATTTCAATATTTGCTGTGCTGATTTAGATAACACAAAATATCTTAAACTCTTTCCCCTTTCATTTCAAACCAGGTTTCATTGCCGCAGACATTAAAGGCACTGGTTCGTGGACTCAGCTGTACCTCATCACGGACTATCACGAGAATGGATCTTTATACGACTACCTCAAGTCTAATACTTTAGACATGAAGGCACTGCTCAAACTGGCCTATTCTTCCATATCAGGCCTGTGCCACCTCCACACAGAGATCTACGGCACGCAGGGCAAGCCAGCCATCGCCCACCGAGACCTCAAGAGCAAGAACATCTTGGTCAAGAAGAATGGATTCTGTTGCATAGCAGATTTGGGCCTAGCAGTAAAATTTAATAGGTAAACACTAAGTAAAGTATACAGTGGTTACTAGGTCTCTGGGGGCCAATTTACTAAACCAGTTCTTCAGTAACATTTTTGGTGAAGGGTCTCCCACTGACTTGTCTCCATTGAGATATTATTCCTTTGTGTGAAATGTTCTACAGTATGACAATGAATGTACCTATCTTCTTGGATTTATTTAATCACAGATGTTTCATTGCCAGTTAAATACCTTGAAAAACCCGCATGCTTGTGGTGAGGGAGCTCGCCTCTCCACAGATCATACCATGGCCTGGTGACGAACCTTTCACCAAGTTACAAAATGTGCAAAATATTATATGATTCTATTAAGATTGACATAGTATATAAATAGTGAAACCATTACTCTCTAACTTTGGTATATTATTGAACGAAGTCTTAGCTATAATTTATTATTACAAGTCTCATAGTGATTTTGATTGTTTCCTACAGTGACACAAATGAAGTGGACATTCCTCTAAACCTAAGGGTGGGCACCAAGCGCTACATGCCCCCTGAGGTGTTGGAGGAGACTCTAAACAGGAGCTACTTTCAGTCCTTCATGATGGCTGACATGTATAGCTTTGGGCTCATTCTATGGGAGATGGCTCGGCGTTGCATTTCTGGAGGTAAGTTGTCATTGGCCAAACCTAGTATATCCTGTTTATAGTGGGGTTCAGGTTTTAGGTTCAGGTTTTCTTTTATTTTGTCTCCTCATGGAGAAATGTGGAGCAGGGGTCAGTAGCATTACCATAAAATACAAACGGACATAACAAAAGACAAAAGACAAACATGTAGAACTGGACAATATGCAATCACTTAGGCTCAACACATCAGTACAGTTACTTCGTGTTGTTATGAGATTTTATACCTGCTATTTTTGCATTAAAGGAAATGTGTATCTCCTCCTAGAGTACAGGACAGTTGATGCAAGAAGTAAAAAAGAATGAAAAAAAAAAGTTTAACTTGTACATTAAAAAATAAAAACATTTAGAACTTTCAAACTTTCTCCAGCATGCATGGTTAAGATTTACAAGACTTATTCTTCTCTGTGCTAAACTGCCACCCACGCGTTGTTTCTGCAGGCATTGTGGAGGAGTACCAGCTGCCCTATCATGACCTGGTGCCCACTGATCCTTCCTATGAGGACATGAGAGAAGTGGTCTGCATCAAGAAACAAAGACCATCCTTCGCCAACCGCTGGACCAGTGATGAGGTATTTCTTTCTTGTGCTGCACTGAAATGATGAATCCAAGCTTCAAGTCAATTAAGATGAAGTTAGTAAGGTGAAATCGTTTAACCCATAGCCTCCCCCACAGTGTAACTTCAGAATATATAAATTTGTATTGTTATTCTGCATATCAAAACCTGCAAAATAGTGTTGCCAACCTCTCTGTGTCATATTTTAACTGACTTTCATGTTGTAATCTAGATAATAATTGTAAGTAAGAATTAATTTCTTGATAGCTCAATTGGATAAAGAATGGTTAAAGATGCTGTCTTGTCTTTTTTGCTGAACTAAAAGTCGATGATGACTGTCTCCTCAGTGTCTGCGTCAGATGGGGAAGCTGATGTCAGAGTGCTGGGCTCATAACCCGGCCTCTCGCCTCACTGCGCTGCGGGTGAAGAAGACTCTGGCCAAGATGTTAGAGACTCAAGACATCAAACTGTGACAAACTGTCCAAAGACATTCTCCCATCAGCACAGACTAGTCACTGCCACCGGCCACTCCACTGGTCAATGCACCAAAGGGAGAAGCAATGACAAATAGGACAAATAAACCTGGCAGAGAATGTGAGTGATGATAACAACATTGGAGAATAATGCCATAAGATTTATGACCAGGCTGAGGTTCTCCCTTTGTGTCAGCGACTTGTGACTCCAAATGTGCTTTCTGTGAAAGCTAAGGTTGTCAAATGTGGACTGCACAGGCACGCAGACTTAGAGGAAAGCTGCTAAGTCTCTCTATAAGCCATACACAGTGTTATATGAGCAGCCTTTTGAGCTGTCACTGCTGCCTTGTTTTGTTCGGGTGTTTGAGTTTGTGGCTCTGTCAATAAATGGAACTGAAAGCTCAAGAAGACTGTGGAGAGAGATGCCCAAAACATAATTAGTGACCTCGTTATTATTATTCATATTGTTATAATATTATTATTAACAGAAAAAAATCTATATAAGAATGCTTATTTAATTTCACAGGGCTTTAAATTCTGATATTTTTAGTAAATGTGTACATATCTGAGCTAAAAATGAATACTGCCTTGTTAAATGTTATTAAAACTGTACAGAATATGTCCTGTCCACTGCACCATGGCATGTGCCTTATTTAATCTGTACATACAAGTGTATTGGTGGATTTGGGTGACATTCCCTAATAAATAATAACGATGTCTTGAAGGCATGTTGCTTTGAAACAAATAGTGTCTGATGCCATTATTCCATGTTGCATATAAATATAATTTATTATTAGTCTTAAAAATTCTTTCTTACACTTTTTACAATACCTTGACAGATGAAATGCAAGCATTAACAGATAAAATGGTCACTGCCAGAACAGACAGGTTACATTCTCACTGTACACAATAAGCAAAAACATCAAGAGATTGCAGAATTGAGAATGTAGATTGTTTCAAAAAGATGCAAAGTTTGCATAGACTGCTTTTCAAAAACTGGGATAACGGCCATTATAAAAGAGAAATCTGACAACAAGTGAACACTCACAAAAGGAATGTTGCATTTACAGTCCTCGCAGAGTCAGTATTGTGATCATCAATGGCTTCTGTCAGTAATGTACAAACGAAAATAGGCTGCCCTCCACCAAAACTCAGTATCATTCAGGACAAAGTAACACTGGAATGAAATCATGATCCCTTTACAATAGATTTACCATCATACTTTGTATTTCATCTATTTGGTAAAAAGCAGTGGAATTCATTTGCATTGGTCCTATAAAAATATATTTGTGTAACAAACCACAAACATCTTTCTTTTGTACAGTATCTTCTTTACCGTTCTTTCTGTCATCTATAGGTGTTCTTTTAAATACACTCAAATATAAACCACCACAAAGTGGGATTTTAAATAGCCTGAAAAATCCTTAACAGCCCCTTGCCTCCCTAGCAGCGAGACAGTTAAAATGCAACTGAACAAATAAGTAAATAATTACAATAAATTGAAAAATAATCACTCTTAAAACAAAGAAATATATGAAACTAATACAACAAATAAGATTAGTAAAAAAAACATCTAAAGTATAACTGTCATTTGTTTCTGTACATGTTCTGACTGACAGGATGGCATACTGCAGGAGTCCAGCAGGGGGGGCTATGATACAGTCAAACTAAAGAGCAATTTGAAGACACTGCAAAGTATAAAGACAGGCAGCATAAAGTACAAAAAGGATGAGTATAAATAGGCATATTAAATACTATGTTATCACAGAACACATATTCATTCTTGGGGTAGCCATGGAGACTGTTTTGGAGAAGGAGCTCCTTCTTTATCTTTTGCTGCATCCATTTGATCCTTTGACCTCCAAAAATCACCACAGAGGGTGTAGTCCAGGGCCAGGGCAGTGTCCACATATTCACACAGTCTATCCAAAAAACGGACAGCTGTTTCCAAGGAAACTGCAGCCAGAATATCGGGTTGTTGTAGCAGTAAGAGAGAGAGAGGGAGAGAAATGACTGGCAGAGATTTGTGTTTACCCCTCCAAGTTTTTACACCCTTTGTTGCCAATGTTTAACTGGGTCATGGCTTAGCAGACCTAGTGCTTTCTTCCACCTCAAAGGAACTGAACATGTTTCTGTTTATGTCACTGTAATGCCAAATGACTTTTCAGCTTTCGGATATGGCCCATCTTTAAGAGCATGTCTTCTTCCTTCTCTATGGGATGTGGTGGTCCCTGGTGAGTAGATGTCAGTGCTCTGTGTTGGAGGGAACCAGAGTGTCATGGCGCCCCATCTCCTCCAGTACCTGGGCCAAGCGACTCAAGTTTCCATCAGGGAAATGCTGGGCTTCCCACAAATCCAAGATCACCCCTGTGGGACTTGATTTAGTGGCAAAGTAGTTGAGATATCTAGAGAACAGACACAAGGGTACGTATCAATAAAGGTGTAGGGTAAGTACATAGTGACAAATACAACTAAGAACAATCCCCTCAGAGAATACATAAAGCATTTTCCATAGTTTTTTTTTCTGTTGTGTGTGATATTGTTGAAATATTTAATTACTGTATATATTTTTGTTTATGTCATAATTTTTCCATGATATTCCTTAAATTACAAAAAACCCTTCAAATAATTTAAAAATATTCTCTTTCACTAACAGAAAGCATCAACACAATTCGAAAAGGGGCCTTTTATGTAGGCAAAAGCCAAAACAACACTGATTTGCATGGAGCCTGTGTGCAGCTAGCTGTGGCTTTCAAAACACATTTCCAAAAGTCTACAGCAGCATGGTTTGTGTTCCAAGTAAACAGAGATTTGTGAATTCTTTTAATAAAGCAGATAATAAAAGCCATGTAAAATGAGGAGAGGGAGCCCATGCGGCGTGGAGCCCCTCTTTGGCTCACACCACTCTGTCAGTGGTCTGTCAATCTGCAGCTGCTGCCTGTGATAAAGGCCCCCTGCTGAGCGGGGACCTTCTAAACAGGCTCTCACTGTACTTCAATCACACACACAGACCAAACCACACCAGTGACATTCTCATTTCATCTTCGTCTTACTCCAAGTTCAATTCATCTCAACTGAGCAGATATTTATCACAGCCACATTCCCTAAGAACAATCAAAATCTAATAAGAACAGATGATTGCTATTCTGTTCAGGCTGGTCCTTCTTATTTTATTTAATCACCAAGTTAGTATGATAAGAATGAAACAATTATAATAGCGGAAAGTAAAAATATTCCAGAAGTTCAAATCAAAATGAGGAGAAATAAAGCAAATCAGTGAACTCTTTGTGCCAGCCCAGAGTTAAGAAAAATGAACAACTTTGCATCATGAAGGGCATCTCTATCTTAAAAATCAATTTTTTTCTTTTTTTTTTTGTGTGGATTTTGTTTTTTAGGATTAGATTAATCTATTAATTACATAATAATACATCAAACTTATAATTATTTTCCATTACAGTTAACTTGATGAACTGGTGTATTTTTATTGTAAATTAAATCTAATTGTGCAGTTTAGTCCTTGAGCCCAGTGCTTTACTGACCTGTCGAGATTGAGTTTGTGGGCCAGCATCCTCCAGTCATTGCCCCTTGTTTGCGGTGCATCCAGACTACCACACAACTTTTGCCTGATGGATACAGGGATTCGAAAGGCATTTGGTCCTACTAGAGTGGTGATGTTGCTAGCGGGGTCCAGTAGAGATGTGTCAATACTTTGAGACTCCTAGAGATTACGAACAAAGAACAACAAGCATGTTAAGTTAGCGGACACTATGTCAACTGTGCACATGATCAGTTCCATTGGCATATTGATGCTTTAATGAGGGCTTTTAACTATATTGGCATACGGTGAATGAATTGCCCCTGGGTTGGCTACAGAAGAAAGAACAGTGCATAAAGACAGATGAAGCAGACCAGGGCACAGTTGAGTGTAATTCATCTCATTACTGTGTGCCGCTCTGTCTCCTGTCCTGTGGGCCAGATGGCTCTTGTGCACTGGACTGCACATGGCTAGACAATGATCATCTATTTGGACTGTATTGGCATCCTCAACGTTGGACTATCGGAAGACTTTGGGGTCCTCGGTGTATCTAAATACACCCCAGCAATGACTCAGCCCAAGAACTTTAGGGTTCTATCTCCACTATGAGCACTGTTGGACACTGGGAGGTTTTTAGTCGTTCGTGCTTCTAGGTCACTGGTTAATGATACAAAGTGATTTTGTTATTGCACCCGTTGCTGTCTCTGTATAATATCCACTTTTTGGTAGCTTTAAAAAATCTAATACCCAATACCTATTTAAAAATGTACTGTAAAAAGTAAAAGTATTTCACACATATTTTGAGATCTAACTAAGCTTTAAATGTAGTGATTTTTGCTCTATAAATTTTGTTCAACAGAAACAACTGAATCTGTTATTTTTTTCTAGCTGTTTTCATTGTTAAGCCTTTTTTGCAGGTGTGAAGAATCCCTCAGTCATCCAGGTAGAATCCCTGAGGAGAAAATTCAGTTTGTCGACTGGTCAAAAGTTAGTTTGGTTGAAGACATTTCGGACAAAACACTGAGCCACAAACAGAGCAATGTGGTCTACTCCATTCAGTGCAGTGAAGACTGCAGTGAACGCTACACTGGAGAAACTAAACAGCTACTTCACAAGAGGATGTAACAGCACAGACAAGAGAGCAGCAGTGGACCTCAGTCTGCTGTCATCTCTACTTAAAGCCACGGGCCACTCATTTCAGGACAGCGAGGTACAGATTTTAGCCAGAGAGAAAAATTGGTTTGAGAGGGGAGTGAAAGAAGCCATTTTTGTTAAGAAAGAGAATCCTTGTCTAAACAGAAATGGAGGCCTCATACACATCTATCTCCTATTTACAACTCCATCCTCAAACCTAAATCAAAACAAACAAGAGAACAACAAGTGTAGCCAGGTCAGGTCCAGAGGTGTGGAAGCTCCATTACTGGCCATGAATTGTTATGCTAATTAGACCCCACACCCTGCACAGGTCAATAGGCCTAACTAACTAACAGAAACTGTAAACAAGTAGGTGTGTTAGTTTCAGTTAGTTAACTCCTCCCTGCAGATATAAGGAAGTGTCCACCAGCATTCTGACCAGAACTGAAGAAGCAGCTTGGATGAGCTGCGAAACTAACTTTTGTCCAGTTGACAAACTGAATTTTCTCCTCATCTTTTTTGCAGGTGTCAAATGATAATAAAAAAAAAGATTTTTACTTTGGTTTGGTTAAAAATGTCGAGAAGTAGAAAGCACAGATGCCTTCCCTCAAATGTAGTGAAGTAAAAATAAAAAGTCTCCACATTAAAAGGTACTTAAGTGATGTAAAGATACCTAAAATGTATACTTAAGTACAGTACTTCATTACATTGTTACGTCCCTCCACTGGTAATAGCACAGTAATAGCACTACAAGTGCAACTGGGTGTAATTAGGGTGATTATGGTCATGGACATGAGAAATCCTAACTCTAATCTTAATCTTAGCCAAGTATGAAGATTTGCATGTTATTACTGTGAATGAATGAAGACAGTAATAAGCAGGGAAACATGATTATTACAGTATTTAAATATTCATATGAAAATGGGGCTATTAACACTGATAATATTGCGCAAAACAGTAATCCATACAGATTAAACCATTGCATACTTCTGACAGTGTGGTGTCCAGTTGGAATATCTGTCCCTCTCCCTCCACTTGGCGCACACAAATCTTACAGCTCAGCTCCAGAGTGCTGAGGCAGAAGCGCTCCAGGGTGAAACAACAGTGCAGGTTCCTCTGAGAGCCCGTCCACACCTGCTGGAAGGACAGCTCCTGTGGATAGTACCAGACCAGTTAAGTACATGTCTTGAATATGTCTTAAATAGGCTGCGTTCATTTTCTGGTATTTGATGATGGATGGAGGACAGGGGCCTATATAACTCTATGGGAGATTTTCACAGATTTTCATCATTGTTAGTTAGGGATTGCTTCCACAAACTTGCCATATTAATCATGGCCTTTCAGCTGAGAATAATCAAATTTTTTTGTTCTGAAGGAAAAATCGATTTGCTCTGCTTATTGAGAAGATGTCAAACCTTGTTCCAGGTTTTGTTTCGTGTAGCCTAGTAATTACAGAGATATTAACCATAGGCCAGGTCAACAAATTTGCAATCTGACAGTTAAACAGCAAATTTTAAAAGCTCAGTTTTAAAGGGCCTATATTCTGGTGTATATTATAATACTGTTTACTCATCAAAAACAAACTTTTTATTCACATGTTTAACACACAAACCCTGCATATTTAGGCTAAATTCTTCTGTCAAACTGAAAACACTCTTTTCTACCTTGTGATGTCATGTGGTAATACAGGAAGTGCTCCACTGTGTTTTAAAACTCCATACTCCTTCACTAGAATAATTTGATTCTGATTTCAGCCCTGGATTTGCAAATCTCTATTTAACAAAGAGGTAAAACACAGCTGTTAACTTAATAACTACATTACATGACATGACAAGGTGGAACAGAGCATTTTGAGCTTTGGAAATGTAGACAAACTAATAATAAAAGACTATGCAAACAATTGTAAATGAAACAAAACACAACCCCAGCAGGTATGTTTGTTGGTGATGTTTGTACTCTTTGAGGATGTAACAGCAGCTCAGAAGAGTCAATTTTGTGTAATATAGGACCTTTAAACTATAGGGATTTTATAATGCTGTGATGTCATGTGAACACAACCTATTATATGTTGACAGTGACATACCTGGTATTTGGCCACTAATTTGCTCTTCCATAATGTGTGGGGGACATCGTGGATGGATAGTCTCAGATTATGAGTGCTGTCTTTGAAGTTAAGGGTCTTTGGTTCATCCAGTAACTTTCCACCCATTTGTTTTTCCATTTGTAGGACTTCCTGAATGACAAATAAAACAAATACAGTATTATTGTAAGTGCACTAAGGGCATGAATAAAAACATGAAGCATAAACAATAAAATGTACTGTGTAAAAATATTGGACTGAATAGTGAACTGAAGATAAGTACAAGCATAAAGATGTGCTATCCTCGAATATGGGAGTCTATTAGTATGTATGTGCCCATCTTTGTCTATTATCACCTTTGCAAAGAATTTCCCCACCACCTCCTACTGAACATCTGTTGACTATCACAACACAAACATCGAGCTGCATTCATAAAGACACTCACTTATCAACATCTCGAAAAACAAATTAGCATTCAAGTACAGAAAATAACTATCTTTATACTTTTAGTGCATCCTGGTTGTCGTCAAGGCAGTAGACTCTGATATGGTACTCCATGGCTGGGCAGGTCACGGGGCCGAAAATGGCGAGTTTGAGGCGTTTGGTGGTGGAGGCACTGAGAGACTGTCCCACCAGGCAGTATGTCCCCAGGGTCTCGGTCAGAATGTGGCAGGCCTCATCATCCATTTGGATGTAGCATGGTGTAGTGAAGTTCTCCTCTCCAACCACAACCACATCCTGAGAAAAATAACAGGGCCAGATCAGAGATATTCATCAATAGCTGTTTTAAGCAGGCTTTACCATTTTGTTTTTCATACAGGAAATCTGAAATAAAAATTTTAATAAAAAATAAAAAACTAAATAAATCCCTCATAAAATGTTGACATCTTTACCAGAAATGAGTACTTTTTTTCTGAATACCTTGTGTACTCAAGATTAAGATTTCAGAACTGAGACCTAAACTATCTGGATATTCTATTCTAAACCCTATAATTCTAAGAGGACAAACTGTTACTGGTGGTTTTCAGATTCTAGAAAATGATAATGAAATCTATCAATATCTGCATTCATCAAACTGGAGTCAAAACTATGTTGGTCTTGTAGATGAACCAAGCGCGATTTGTTCATACAATATATAGATCAAGTTATTGCAACAGTCTTCAGTCGCCATAGCGATTAAACAATGGGGAAAAGTCCTCACAAACACCTTCAAAACTGTAAGGATTTGCTTGGCTGAAACCCTTGAATTCTTGTGAATGCTAGTAATGTTCATATTAGTTGACCTTCATAACTGCCAAAATGTAAGACAAATTTTTCCCTTAGACTGTCTGGTGTATTTCTAAACAGTCTCTTTATTTTTAATTCCTCCCTAGTGTAATCCAAACACTCCAGTGAGAAGCATGGCATAAATTCGACTTAATATGAGAGACAGAAGAAGAATTACAGCGTTCCATTGTGACGCGGCCCTTTTAACACTAGTATTATGGCTGATCATTAGACTCTTTAACAGCTCCACAGGGACGCCATTGCAGCTCCGTAATGGGGAATAATTAGAACGCACAGTGGAAAAGTAGACTTGTGCTTCAAACAAAAGTGCATGAGAGCAAATAAACAAAATCGTGAACCAACACGATCCTCAGCATCATTTATTCACTGATTTTAGAATGCATTTGTCAGACACTAAAGGCAGGCACAATGCTTCTTTGTAGGAGGCCCACTGAAGCAGAAAACCACACATGTTCTCATTATTTGACCTGCTGTCTTAATCATAATCAGCAGCATGGATGCTCAGAACTGTATGTGGATATTTATCACATTGTGAGGACTAAAATCTTCATACACATATATAATAGCGACCCACCTCCCATTACCTGACAAAGTCAGGTCCTATAAGTCCTTTATTTTATTTACATTAATAACTTGGTTTAAAGTTCAGATAAGGATTGAAATAGGTTAAGATTAGAGTTTAGATTAAGGTAAGACAAGTAGTAGCCGCTTGAAGTTAGTATCAGTCTAATATGATGTCCAAAAATCATGGAAACCCAACATGTGTGTGTGTACTGTGACCAGACAGAGATGACCATAGTTAACACCACTGGAAATTAACTTTTTCTGGGTGGTATATATGTTAATGAGAGTTCTTCTTCATGTGCTTTCCTCTGCTGTTTTGACTTGTGCAATGAATCCTTATTTTGACAGAGCATGTCATCTAAAGCAATATTTCTCCCATCAGCATAGTGATGATGTCTGGCCTCAGTGGAAAGAAAAGCTCATATAGGTGAGGAAGCTGCTGTCACCTTGGATATTACCATCTGCATTTGTGACAGGCCAGAGATGTAATCAATAGTTATTTTCCCTTAAAATACTGAGTTTACACAGTGCTTTATTGGCCGCCCTCGAGTCATTTATCAATGTCACACAGGCATGTGGCCCAGTCTGGCACTTTTTCTGCTCCAGAGCTCCTATCAGCACATCAGCGGCCAAACAGTGAGCTCACTTCCTTAAAATGTAATTTCAAACATTATTTGGCAATAAGCAGAAACCTTATATTGCATGCTGCAATGAGTTATAGAAATATATTGCTAAGGCTCACCACTTTTTCATTGTATAATTGCAAAATAAAATTGTCAATTCAGATTGCTTTCACCTGGCTGTGAAGCCTGTGTGGATTTTCACTTTGTTCCTCATATGAAACAAAGATTGTGAAGATTCGGCATATGATACGTGACTGGATTTGGGAATGTGGGAGATGCAATCTGATGATCTTATCCTCGTAATAACTTTCTGTTTTTGTGAGCATGGTGGAAAAGTAAAATAAAATACAGAAGCAAGAAAACAGGTGAAAGGCAGAAAATCTTCACACGGTGCCCTTTGGCAGCAGCACTTATCATCATCAACACAGTTAATGATTGAGCCTACGGGCACACGGCTTCAGGAACAACGCCAGCTCACAGCAAAACAAAAACACAGATTTATAAAGCAACAGTCTGGGGAAATGCAGTGGCTGTATGTTCTATTAGAGGGTTACCTTTGCTGCAGCTAGCAACAATAAGCTTTCATCTGTATTCTGAATTCCACAAGCAGGTTCATCTCTAAAAGCAATTGGAAGTTATTGTTTGGATAATAACGGTATAGACCAGCATTGTAAGTGTCATGTGTAAAAACTGTCCACTCCTCATCCGAGTTTTATAATTCTGCTTTAACATACTTCAAAAACATGTAAAATTTTTAATTAATTGATACCTTTCATATTTATTATTACAAGTTTTTGGAATTGGAGGTGATTGGAAATGTAAAAGTTTTGTTTCATCCATCCCCTTTTCAAACCTGCATGTTTGTAACTGCATTTGTATTGTTATGTTGTGAATTGTATGTGCAGGTTTGAAATAAAATAACTAACTAATTAACTAAATTTTAATTTTATATTTTTAATCTATATCTTACCTCCCATTGGTTCTGTGGAGATAGGCTCTTGAGCTGGATCAGCCAGTCCTGCTGTCCATCACACACAGCGCAGTGGTGCATGGTGATGATGACGGGCCGGGTCAGCAGGGCTCCGGGGGGCCCGCAGCTCACCACAGGGCTCAGCACAGTCTGTCCATCTTCCACTGAGGGCCTGAAGGTACACACACGACACAGTGGACACATGTGGCTGTTAGGCGGGTGTGACAGGGCAGGGCCAGTGCTGACAGGGTAAACAGAGCTGAAGCTTTAGAGCTCTAAGTGATGATATGGCAGCAGTGTGCGTACCTCATGTTGTCCTTCCTCTGAACTGTCACATACATTTCATAGACTCGGCCCTGAGGGATGGCACCCGCTGGAACCAACAAACTCACCCCTGGAGAGAAGACAAAGACATGAGGACAAAAACAGTTGGGTTTATTTGTCCAGTAGAATATTTTCAGTCAACAATAGCCTCAAAATACCAATTAGGCACCAACTCAAATGTTACACACTATCAGATGCACTAGGTAGGTGCAATTTATGCAATGTCATAACATTCTTGAATTGAAACCATTTCAAATGCAGATAGAGGAATTCTATACATTGTCTGGTGTTTGGTCACAATCACACAGCTGCGACTCAGTTAAGCAATTGCATACGATTTATATGCCCAGATTGTGGACCCAATCTCTAAAAATGATAGGGTTCACGGTTGTGGGTTTTCTTTTTGAAGACGTATTTCAAGTATTTCAAAAGTAGTGAATCGTAGGCTTCTGGCCTCCATCTGAAAATATGACATCATAAAAAGGTAGAATGTGATCCCATCCTCTAGGTGACGCATGGTAGATGCAGTCCAGAGAGGAGAACATTGTTATTAACAACAAAAACATGTTATTTCAAGAAGCCCTAAATAGAACTGCTGTTATATGAAATGAGAAACCATGTGGCATCATATTCTAAATCAATGACTAAAGCATGTGTGTTATCGTGTTCTCGAGGTCTGTATCATCTACATTTTTCTCCTTAGATTGATTTGATCCCCTGCCCTGTCCAGTGTATATCAGGCCCTACCCCTGCAGTTTTCTAATGTACTTTTTTCTCATGGGTGTTTTCTCAGATAGCTCATTGATTTCCCCCGTCCTTGTGCTGAACTTTTCAAAAGGTGACAGACAGCTTCCCATGCTATAGCGGCCCAGGCAATCACAACTGTGCCAGAGGGACGTTGAGCTGCGTTGCCACTCTGCCTCACCGCCAGGCTTCAAAGAACCAAGGAAATGCATTTTAACAAGGAAAAATAGCAAACAGTCACAAAATATTTCATTACGCTGACACACAAACAGATCAAATATCAAATGGTCTTTTCCTTTGCCTTTGACAGTAATATGATGAGGTAGCTAAGCTCAAACCAGCAGCTGAGAACATTTTACAAGAATCAAAACCAAAAAGACAGAAATTGGAGAGGTCTGTGTGTCTTTAAGCTTGTCTACATGTATCCGCAGTGCCTTACAAACAGCCCCCCTGTGTTTGAAGTGGGGACAACAGAGTAAATGGAAGCTGTCTGAAAGCGTACACCTCTCCTTCACCACTCCTGCCTTGTGCACCCTGGTTATCCATCAAACACCCAACCCAACTGTGTGCTGTCATTACCATGATGACTTACATATGGTATGGCCTATTTATTTCAAAGTCATGAGGGTGAAATGGAGAGAGACAAAGGTAAAGAAAATTAAATCAATAGGAAAAAAAAGTAGATATTAATAGTGTTTTATAATCAACTGTTTAGTAATCAAAGAATGAAAAAAACTCTATGAGCAAATATATCATGAACATAGAGATAATACATGTATAATATGTGCCACAATGATAAAAAATTCTCAGTGTGTTGTGAAAATGTGATCAGATAAATAATACATTATTAAGTGAATGAAAGTGATACTAACCAAACGGTACTGAAAATGAAAAGAACAGTAATTGCAGATGCATGTTAGATCATGGGTTACAAAAGAGGGAAGCAGGATCTAATCTAAATAAAACCAATTTTTAAATCTTTTGACACTAGAAATTATAATCAGTTTCATTTTGTAATGGGGGCTCGTGTTCCTGGCTTGAAAAACTTGGGAACCCCTGAGTTGGATTACTTAAGGGTACCAGCAAGAAAGAAGGAGGATACAGTGGGGAGCCACTTGTTTGAATTGAAACTAGCTTTACATACCTGAGTTGGGCACTATGAGATGTCCCCCCTGTGAGCTGAAGGAGCCCAGGGCAGTGCAGGAGGGGTCTCTGGTGCGCAGCAGTGTCTGTGTCTGTGTGCGCCGGCCCATAGTGTCGCTGTTGTCCAGGAGACTGTGAGGTAACTTGGGGGAGAGTTTGGACGAGAACTCCCCTCCTAGGTCGTCCTGTGGGGTCACTAGTCCTGAGGAGTTGTACACTTTGATCTTCAGGTTGGGCAGAGGGTCCAGCAGAGGAGAGTTGGTCATTGGGATTTTATCGGCCACATCATGAAGAGCATACACTGGCCCGCGATACATGGCTGCTGCGGAGGTGAGGTCAGGAGGAGCTGTCAGAAGATCTGCTGTGGAGGAGATTAGAGGAGAAATTATGTTAAAAGAATCAAAAGAGGAAACAAAAAAAAATATATATTATAAAATAAATTAATAATAAGTTGAACACTAGCTTTAATAGGTCTTGAATTGAGGCTTCATATTGAGGCTCATAGCCTGAGCCTTTGCCACTCTAGCCTTCTTTCAAGCCTTTCCTATGAAGCAACTCTCATTACCTGTGATTTAAAGGTGCATGATGCAAATTTTCTGATGAGAGATCCACCACCCGCTTGTCTCCATGAAGCTGTTATTGCTTTGACTGTGAGTTTTCACAGTATAGAAATATACTATCTAACATTTACAATTTATAACATTTGTTGCAAAAAAAGGGCATCTTTAAGCTGCTTTAAATGCCACAACCCTCTTCTGATGCATTTCCACTTAGTAGCAGAACCATCAACCACAGCCTCTCCATCTCACACCACCTCTTGTGCCCAGCCCTGGGCTGGGCTCTAGGGAGGTATTTTTCTTAAAGGTGGTTTATACTGTTCACTGCATCTTTGGCCTTTTAAGTTTCTGTGGTCTAAACACCCGCCATCAGCACCACCGTAACAGTTGTAGTAGTTTGTTTGAATCTGTCCTGGCCGAAACATCCATGTGAAAATGAAGTGTTTGCGGCAATCAGTTTGACTGGTCTCTGGCTTCCCTCATTTGTTTTTTGCTCATTAGGGAAGTCCACTGCTCCACCTAAAAGCATTACTCAGTGGGAGAAGTTCAGACTGCAGCTGTGATTCATGAGGAACAGATGGCGTCACTCGCATAAGGCTCTCCAGCAGGTACAAGGATGGATGTTCAGAGTGGCCGTGTGTGGGCGGAGAGGGCAGTGGGCACTCCAAAGGCTTGCAGTTCATGTAGAAGGAACTTACTCCCCCTCTCCTTATTTCACACAGTTTGTATTCATATTCATAACAATGTCTGCATAGGTCACACAGGCTGTTTAAATGAGAAATAAATCGGGTGTTTATGAAAGGTGAAATACATATTGCATGAAAGTGTTTGCATATGATTCTTACTAAGTAAAAAATAAAGATAACTCATACCCGCTTCATCCTGTTGTTTTTAATTAATTACAAATATATCAAATGTTCCCTCAGTTGACTCAAGTTGTAATGAATAATTGCTTCACTGCTGTTAAAAATTAACAGAAGTAATTTGCAGAAGTAATTTGCAATATCAATTACCACAACCTTCACTTTATGGCCGTATACAACTGTATTAGCAATGTATTTATTTAGAATGTTGTGGATTTCTATTAAAAGCACTGCCTGAAGTAAAATTAACAAGAATAGATTTTCTCTAGCTTGTACCCATTACACTAGAAGAGCAATGGTCCAATGCTAATCCCCAGTATAGTATTACTAACAGTGATTAAGAATTTGGCAATACTTTTTACTAACTGGCTATATAAACTACACTTTACCATGGTTATCCTGGCTAGCAATTCATATTTCCAAGATAAATGTAGGTGTCTATAGATTCATGATAGTGTCCAGCTAACATGACTAAATGAAAACACACTATCAATACAAGGTTTCTTAAAGATTATCAAAGCTACTGTAAAATTCAGCATGTAAAATTAAAAAATAAACAGGGAATAACCCAGGTCAAGCAGTAATTGCACACATCATACATTTCTCATGCAATCTGTAACCCTGAGTGGTGGATGAAGTACTCAACTTTGTTACTGCAAAGTATCGCATGAAAAAAAATCATCTTTACGTGTTTCAAAACGTATTTCAAGAATAAAAAGTAAAAGTATTTTGCAAAGATTTTTTGAACAATTAAAGCATAAAATGTAGTGATTTTGGTAAAGAATTCAGCTGATTTTAAGTGATTCAGCTTTTCTACCTGTTTTTGTGTATTTGTATATTTGGTTTGCTTAGGACATTAACTCAAATTAAATGTGCCAAAAATCTGTCATCTTTTTCAGCAAGTCACAAACCATGAAGAAAAGCACTCAGTCCATATCTAAAATGTAGTGGAGAGAAAGTACAGACACATGTAGTGAAGTAAAAGTAAAAAGTATCCAATGTAAAATGTACAGATACTCTGACATACATTTCTCCATATACTTCTCGCCAACACACAAAGAGTCAAACCTTTGCGAGCCGTCTTGATGCTGACAGGCTGGAATCCTCCATTAAGGGCAGATGAATCGATGATGTCAGAATCGAAGTCGCGGTGGTTCTTCCTGTATACGAAGAGCGCCACGGCAACGGAGATGACCAGGCACATAATGACAGCTATGACAATCCCAACATACAATGCCACATCATCTGTGCTGGGGGCCACTGAGGAGGAGACAGAACACAAAAACACAAATCAGTTCAATCCATAACACCAATAGCATCAGGCTGCTTAAGCAATTTGCAGATGCTGTTGTCAGCCACTATCAGCCATTATCATCAGATTCATATCCTGCTTTAAAATGAGCCGGATATGAACGTCCATCTAGCGGGAAATAAAAACTCTTTTGCCTGTTTTCTAGGAATACTGCCCCATGATCTTGTTACTGGTGACTTTGATTAATAGGGATACGGATACAGCAAGAAAATCAGTTTAGATGTTATTTCACTACTACTATAAATAGTCTGAGGATTTGACTGCTCTCAGCCACACTAATCATATAGTCACACAAACAGATTCACACACTGGCAGAGTGTTTTAGTATTTAGTAGTATTTAGGGTACTACTGGTTAAGCAAGTCCGCCACAAAGCAATTAGTACTATACTGTAACTGGAAGTAATACAAGTAGAAGCATTTGTGTTGCAGTAGTTTTAGAAGCCCTAGTAGTAGTTGTTATAGTAGTAGCAATAGAAATATAGTGTTATTCAAATTGTAGCAGTGGCAAGTGGGATAGAAATACAAGTAACAGTAGTAATGATTGTCATTTTACTCCTGTGTAATAGACAATATCTTCAGATAACAATAGTTGCTTCTTGTATCTCCCATAGCAGAGAACTGACACAACAATGATTAACTCAACGCAATTAATGTAGAAGGTTGTTCCGGCAGAACCCAATGACACCCAGTCCTAACAAGCAGAGCCACAGAGCGGATCAAAAGCACTGAAGACCGAGATATAGACGTTTTCATCTCTTAAATTACCATGCTCTGTGCTGAAGTTCAGAGTGGAGCGGGCTTTGTTCTTACACAGTTCAGATAAAATCGGGACATCGCTTGCTTTTCTGCGACTGTCTTTCATGTGCGCCTCTCTCCCTCCTCCCTATGTCTTTGTGTCCAGTTTCCAGCTGGAGGAGCCTGAGTGATTAGAAGACCTGGCATGGACCACAGCCCCACAGCCACTCATTAGAACACCAGAGCCCTAATGGATGCCTTCTGACAGTTTGAACTCTGCATGTCTGCTGAAGAATGTCCTTCACTGTCACCACCATGCTGACAAATGAGGAGAAACCACAATGTAAAAAATATAACAGGGTCATGTGAGGGCATATGCAATGTTTGTAGGTTAATATAATATATGAATAATAAAAAATAGAAATATTCTGGATGTCACGAGTATGTAATCCTTTAATTATCAATGATGCATTAATTAACTAACTATTTAAAATGGATTTTAAGGATTTGTGAAACAGCAGAAAGGAGCTGGAGTTTTGAAAGTGACTGGACAGTAACATTTGCTTCATTTATCAAGACACTCTTTAATATAATCTTCTCTGTACACAATAGTTGTTTTGTGCAAGATTTGTGCAATAATTTTCATACTCTCTTTTAGCTAATTAACTGATACGCAGAACATAGTCAACTAAGAATGTCTTAAATTGACTACAGCCTATGTGAGCCAATCATATGTGTATGTAAATGAAATGGAGGAGTGACCAGTAGATGGCAGCATTACACATGCAGATCCACACATCACTGTCAGGGTGCTGGTAGGGCGTGTGTATGAGGGTGCAGATGGCCCTCAGTCTGCGCCCCGTCTACTCTCCCACAAAGCAAACATAAGGAGAAGACATGATCAGAAGGTACACTTTGTTTAGTCTCTGTTGTAAGTTATTCATTTGTATCGATCTTTTTTCCTTGGCAAAGCTTCTCATCTGGCACACTTGAGGGAAGGAGTTAAGGTCAACAAAAGCTTTGTCTCTGGGTATCAAAATGCAAGTAACAAGGAATTAATACAGAATTTACAGACATTTTAGGATATTACTTGCACCCCCTTTAAGCTGCTTATGATCCTTAAATGGAAAATGCAAGTAATTAAATCACTTGGCTATATGCACCCAACAAAGTTAACTTTATGTTGAATAATAAATGAACCAAGAATAAAATGCAGCTAAGCAAGGTCAGCTGAAGATTTCACAACAATTACTTCAAGGAGGCTGCTCAGGTCATGATAGGAAAATAAACATATAAATGATAACTAAAAAGGTAATTGAAGGATATTGAAATGGGCAAAAACACATAAAATACCATCTGTGCTTGTGCTTTCCATTAGTTGTAGTACCATTTGATCTTTAATTTTTCATTTTTCAGTTTCATTTTTGATTGGCATCTTGACTTATAATCAAAATGTCATGTTCCGAGTAGTGGAAGAACTGAAGTTTGGAGTGGTAGCAATAAATACACATTTTCTAGTCATTCTCTCAATTACCTTGAACTTTTCATCAAAATACTTGCCATTGCTCATAATATTTAGATCACACAAATTCATTTAACAGACATTTTTCTTGCAGAATTGACAAAGCATCTAAAATGAGGGTCAAAACTTCATCTTAAACTTTGTATTACACAAAATGAATTATTGTGTGCTTTAAGCAATGTGATAATGGTGTTACCTCCTCCTCAAAAACATACCTGTAGCTATGTTTTGTTTCATTCACATTTGTTTGAGTAATCCATCTTTACTGAAAATACTCTGTTCCACCTTGTGATATCATTTAGCAGTACTTTTCAGGTTAACAGCTACCTTTTACCTTTTGCTCAGTAGAGATTGGTAATTCTAGGTGTTAAATCACCCAAATGATTTTAGTGAAGGTATATGGAGTTTAAAAACACAGTAGATCACTTCCTGGTAGTACAGGAAGTGCTCTACTGTGTTTTTGACACGACATCACAAGGTGTAACAGGCTGTTTGAGAGAAGAACTCAGCCTAAATAAGCAGGGTTTTTGTGTTAAGCATGTTTAAATGAAACAAAACACAACTGTAGGTAAGTTTTTGATGAGAAAACAACATCATAACACAGATAATTTTGAAATTTTGAAATGTTACTATGGACACTCCTAGGTAATTGAGGAAGTATACTTTTTCACCACCACACTGTAGTCTACAAGAGACAAAACACAGCTTTGATAAACCAACTATACATTTCAATCTTCAGACATTTATGCAATGTATATGTGTGCCCTGGATGTAAATACAACATATAGCTTATTTCTTTTGGTTATTAAATGAATAAGTGTTTCTTTGTAAATGTGTGGTCTCTAGTCTATAACAGAGACATCACAGTGAGTGTCAAGCTCTTTTTCAATGTGCATTCAGCCTCTAATCTTTCTCCTCAAAGACACAACCAGAACACAGAACAGGAAGCTAGTGAATATAGTCTGAATTTCACTAAATCAAGTTCACCCGGCAGTTATTCAACATACATCCCCTTTGGTTACACAACTTTCCATTTGCACTTTGAAGATAAAGACAGCAACCTGCTAAGTGTAGGCATTAGAATGTCTCACTTAGATTAATACATGCCTTTGAACATGAGCCATTGTCGGAAAAAGAGAAAAGTACAAGAAATGTAAATGAAAGGGATTAGTGAGGAAGACTCCATTCTGAGGAGGCAGAGGGAGAGAGAGCTGCTCAGAGAGACACACAATGCTGGGTTATGTTCCAGGGCAGAGGTGAGCCTGAATCAGATGAAGAAGTCAGGGGGAGCGGTGAGGACAGTGTTGATGTAGAAAGACTGGAGAAAAGTAATTTATATAAGAAGAAACTGTAAAGATGTGCACACTGTATTAGGATAAACAAAAGTTAACATGACTCGACAACATGTTATATAGTAGCCTAGATTGGAGCTTATAGACCATGCATTATATATGATGGCAGAGATTAAAACGGCAACAATGGCAGAAGTGAACTTGGTTAAGCCAAAGACGTAATCAGAGGAGTCAGAGGTGGGCGATATGCTAAATTATTAATATGATTATAATTTCCTTGAAGACAGATTAGGATTTAGATTTTATCACAATTCAAATTCTCTTTATATTGTCTTGCAGAGGTAACTAAAGTAATCTACTTCTAAAAATTCACACTTTATTGTAATTGGTGGTTTACAGATTCCAGAATGTGATGACTGATTCGCAAATGATGAAGCTGAGCATTTCTATTATTGACCTGACCCAAGAACTTACATTATTACAACAAAAACCTGCATTTAACTATAAAAATAAAACCTGCCAAATGTGTAATAAATAATATTGCCTTTTAGCACCTTGTGATGTCATCTGAAACCCAGCAGGTGATTACGGTAAATCCACTTGTCACTCACTATTGCTGAGGCTGACGTGGGTGGCAAAAAGTGTTTTTGTTTGAGAATAGAGCTGCATTCTAGGGGAAAATTGCTAACGTCGATTTGACCAAAATAGCTAAGCAATTTGATTTTTATCAGCGTATTGCCCAGCCCTGCTTGTAGTAATTATTATCAAAAGCCTTGTGTATTGGTGCTATCAAGTTATTTTTTGTATTTCAGTATGGGGTGTGACTAAGGAAAAAATTACTTAAATGAACAGACAAAAGAATGAATATAAGACGTAAAGCAAATTAAATGATTAAAAAAAAAAAAAAAAACACTCACATGGAGTTCCCAACTGACTGGTGTCTTTTGGCTCTGAGGACTTCTGATATAAGGAACCTTGAAGAGAAAGAGGGATGGTGCAGCGGAGGGAGACAGGAGAGAGATGATCAAAATCAAATTTAAGGCAACAGAAAAACAAACTGAACAAATGAGGCTGCTACAAAGTCATGAGTAGAGCGATGACACAGACAAGTTATATTTCTTGATTTGGCCCTTAGTTTGAGTTCTGAGTATCGAGTATGGAGATAGATGAGAGAGGAAGGAGACATGGTGGTTCAGTGGGAGAGTGGCGCGATCCATCAACTGGGCTCACTCCTGCTGCTGTGAGGAGACGGTGGCTGCCATGGACAAACTAGAAAAATGTGGGCTCTAAACAAGTCAGTATAACCTTGCATCTGCCTCAAGAAGAGTACACAGAGAAGATGGATGCACCATTTTTTACCTTGGTGACAAGGCAGGTAATAGGCTGTGTACATGGATGGGCGTGTCTGTGTATGCAGGTAGGCCAGTAATAACAGTTAAAGATGCACTGAGTAACTTTTCTGGTGTGGGGGGAGGGGGGTCCATCACCTGCTCATCTCAATGAAAATGTTATTGCACTACGATATTAAACAATCTTCATGGAGACAAGCAAATGACACCATCAGGCCAAGTTACAGATCAGATCAGTGGAATGGCAACCCCACTTATGCAGTAAGACTTCATGCTTTCTATGTATTTCTGAGCAATAAAAACACCTTTTTGAAATAATCTTAGAAAGAAACATTTAATGCAATACTGTGGAACATTCCCGGCAAAGCAATAACATGTCAATGGAGAAGAGCCATGAGTCAAGTACTATTTACCAGAAAAGCAGCAGACCTTTAAATATAAATTTAGTTAATAGTTAAACAAAAATTTAACTATTTGAATAAATCTACACATGAAATACTGATCTAACAGGTTTGATACAAATTATTGTTAATGGTAAATAATTCATATTTTGGTATAGATTTTAGAGACATGAAAAATAAGTTGGTTTGCAAACATAAAATGCACAGCCTGCACATTGTAGTGGTAGTAATAGTCATGGTGCACTTATAATAGGCTTTGCTGTAGAGTCTTACGTAAATGAAACATACGTGAGATGTTTACAGGTGATGTATTGATGTGTTGTAGGCAGCAGTAGCTTGAATCCCCCGTGCTATAGCACATAATATGGAGGCTCCGTGGGACATCCATAAACAACTATACAAACAATGGAGTTCTTATTGGGAGAGAAGCTACTCGCAGGAAGACAAGCGCTCGGACAGGAAATCGATGCTGTGATGGATGGAGCAGCCGTGTGCATGTAATCATCCAGGAGGGAGTCCGCTGCAGCTGGGAGGTGACTGTCAGGGTCAGGCTAACTGATGGCCTATCCCGACCCATGCTCTGGAACTTCTGCTGGCGCCACGTGGCTGTGTACGGAGCTAAAGCCAGGCCTTCACTGTGGGTGGAGGTCATATGATATTCTGATAACACTGATGAGATGTGTATGCGTATGACAGATTTTTATGATTCTCTTTAATTAGGTGTAATTATAACTACTGTAAATATAAATTATAGTTTCACACCAATCAAGAAGCCAATCAGGAAACAGAGAGCTCTAAAATATATTGATGTCATCACACTAGGGAGAATTCTGTCCAAAAAGTTATTCACAATTTACATATAGGAAACACATTTTTATACTTTAAACATTAATTAATAAAAATAAAGGTGTTTTCCTATATTTGTATTTGTTAGAGAAATTCAAATTTTGTGTACATTACAGCTACAGGTAGATTTCCCTAATGTTTTTAACCACAAAGTAAATTTTTAGTGTGAATGTTTTTCCAAAAATGAGCATGAGCTTTCATAGGCAGGATATCATAATTAAGACAATAAGACAACATATAAAGGTCTAAAACCAATATTATGGAAAAGTGAAGGTATTTATACAAGAGAAGTCATTAGTGCTAAAAATGTATGCTCACATCTCTCTAAGATAATTAACATTGCCAGTGTTTAAAAATAACTACAGAATTAATTAAAGTCTACTTCTGTAAGCTCTTTGTCAACTCAGTGCACAATTATTTTTACAGTTATGCTCATAGCTCAACAAACGTCTCAAGTTTTCTTTTACTCCACCAAGAAAGCGAGTGCCCTTGTTGGCTCATTGGAGCGGTTCCCACCCCTTACTCAGATCGATATGTCAAAGCATGTGATGTCAGGGTGCAGGGTTACCACTGGCCCAGAGAACAACAACTTCAAAACAACAGAGGCGCACCATGGAGGCATTGCCAAACATGCTTCTACCCAGGTCACTCAGTCCACCTCCAAAACTATATTCTGACATCCAACTTCTATCAGACAAAGTGCATTCTCTTCAGTGGATTCTGGAAATGCCTAACTTTGTTAAGGCCAAACTCCTCGACAGGCTAAATGGGATATACAAGCTACAAATTCAATAATAGACATTTTTTCCCTTTGGCTTTTTTGTAATGATCTACAATTGACACTGAGTATTTTAAGTTCTGTTTCCAGCTTTCCTTCCTTCACAGATGGACTGCAACTGAAATGATTTAAATAAATTCAAACAACTGAAAATAAGATCATGGTGCAGTGGACTCCTCACTCAGACATGTGTTCTGTCTCGGAGGTCCAAGGTGAGTTCAGATTGCACACTGCTCCTTGGTCCAATCATATTTGCCATTATGTGAGCTTCACATAATGGGCCATGCTCCTAAACGGGAGTGGAAATGGTCATTAGCGTTGACATAAGTGGCTTCACCCTCTTAGCTTCTCCAAAAAAAATCAATTCCTGGAACTATTGCACATCTATATCATTATGCTTTATATTCTGTGCAATGCTAACAAGAACTAATGCTCGAAGCGCATGGTATGTGCAGTATGTTCACATGAGTGGAAAGACTCATTTGAAGCTAACGTCTGGCTGAGTGGCCGAGGAGTGTAACTAAGCACTAGTGCTGGAAAATGTTGCTCACAAGAACTAGTATTGTTATAAGATTAAAATTTCAAACACGATTTCAATACTAAAGGATACATTCGATACACGATGCCAATTTTTAAACCTAAATAATCATTTTAAAAGGTCTTTTAAAGACAATATTGTAATTTGTGTTTATTTATTTATTTCAAATGAGTATCTAATTTCAATATTAATTTTAGTATTGATTAGTATTTCATTTTCATTGCTTTTGACAAGCCTAACAAGAGTAATTGTGTTTACTTTTAATTCAGTTATGCAACCCATTTGCAATCTCTGTCAAATTTGTTCAGTAGCCAGAGATATTTTTGGTTCTTCTGGCTTTAGTTTTTTAATGTATTTTCTATTTCTCCCTTTCCGGTTGATATATTATAATTACTGCAAGCAAACACAAAAACACATTTATTCTATGATTTTGCAGAAACTCTAAAGGTTAAGATTACAATATGCAAAGCAAAGAAATAGCATATCTTTCTATAAAGCACAGTCGCGATGTGCTGTATCGGCAAGAGGCCGTGGCTAAATCAAATACACCAAAGAATTCCTGAGGCACTCTGAGTGACCACATGCGGAACTGGGAACACATTCACCACTAACTTTTTATAATAAATACACTTACCCTTAACTAAGCATAGGCATAAATCATAATGGAAACTGAGAGATTACACAAACCTCCATGAAGAACAAATAGTTTATTAAGAATGATTCAGGCTTAGTAACTACTTAATTAACACCCTGACCCTAAAACCTAAATTCAAGACAATGTGGCCGATTTTGTTTTTCATGTTTTCCAAAACTTGTCTTGTCCCTGTACAGATAGATTGTAAAATCAGCTAATTATCAAGCATTTTCTTGCCTGAAAATCAGAAAGTGTACAGTTAGCATCCTAGTTGCTATACACATTACTGTGACGGCCTCTGGAAGTTGTGAAACGTGTGAAAACTCATCACGGTGAACAGGATGCTCGGAATGCATAAGGTAAGTGAGGAACGGACCAAAAGTGCAAACCATTTAAAATGAATTAGTTCTGTTTTTTCACGTTTTAAGACTGTAAAAATATGGTGTAGATACTAAACATGAATCATTCATAATAAACAAATTGTTCTTTATGAATTAAGTCTTTGTTAAGGTTAATTAAGATGTAGTTATTAAAAAGTGGTACCCATTCACCATAGATGTGAAGTGAAGAAGCATATTGACCAGCAGTGTGGTGTCACTCTCAGTCTCTCTTGTCTACCGCCAACAGTAGGTATCACAGTGAAAGCTCATACACTGGGACCAGCTGTATTAAATTCAGTCTGTTATATGATTAGTGTCACTACCACCATCTGTAGTGAATTATCCACCTCTTCTGGGAGCACAGGGCTGACACCTCCAACAATATTTAGTAGTCAAGACATTTAATAAAGGAGACACCATTTAACACACTTAAACACAGTTGCTTGGCAGATTTAGATAAGATCTCTGTAGAAATCATTCTCTTAGAAACAAAATGGCACAGATATAAGTGAAGTCTTTTCACCTATCCCTTACACAAACTAGCTTTGTTTACCAGTTATTTCTGTGCGTGCCTGGTTTATGTATTGTATATGCTGTACAGTGGGAAAAGTTTTAGTTTTTTACCATAGGCTCTTGTTGATTTTTCATAAACCTTAAGCCATGGTCTTACTTCTCATATATTATTGTGGCCCATCATTTTATTTTAAACGTAAGTATCAAATATTAAATGCACTCGCCCCATTACTTTAGATACTTTCTGATCCCAAGCACCTTTTCCACAGGCAAGCCAACGACACACGATGCTAAGTGGGTCTGCTTGGTGCATTGTAGATAAGGATAAATAAACAGCAGCAGAAAATATGCTGGCTTGTCACCTTGAGTGTGTGTATAGTGAATAACGTGCAGCCCTCTGAAAGACTATGGAATTATGAGCTGGAGTGAAACATGGTGCAGAGATGAGGTCACAGTGAGTCTGATGGTCAAGGAAGTTCTTTGGCACAATCTGATTCCCCTGTGTTTCTGACAATACAGGAACATGATTGAAGTTTTTGTCACTTTATCATGATGTCATATGTGTGTGCCAGTGAGAAAGCTATTGCACAGCACATATACTCAATATTATGTATTTTGTCCAACTGAATTAAAAGTGAATTCCAAAGTAAATGGGTAGCTGTTAACCCAGTCTTCACTGTATATATAGAATTTGCTATGCATTCAAAAGTGCTTTATGTAACTGGTCGGGGTCTGTTACATGCATGTCTCCAAGGAGATTGCTTTATTTGAAATGTTCCACAGTATGGCATTAAATGAATATATCATGTAATTATTAATTTATTATGTAAGTGTTTTATTGATCAAAAACACCTTGCATGGATTCTATGAGCAGACGTGACCTGGTGACGTCTCCATGGAAACAGGCAAGTTTAATATCACACTTTCAAACATTCCAGGCAATGCGCAAGTGATGAACCCTCCACCAGAAAAATTACATAGTGCACTTTTTGCATATTTCAGTCATCCTTTGTATGTTGTCAACAACCAGAGGAGATCAGATGGTACATTCCTTGGTGATCAGGAAGAGGGAGAAGCAGAGAGGTGGCTCAGGTACTCACTCTGCATACACAGCCCATCGGTGCAGTTCTTGGACTGGAGCACCATGCCCTCACAGTCTTTCCCCCCGTTTTTGGGCGCTGGGGCGTTGCACTCCCTCCTTCTCCAATGGGTGCACTCTGTCCCACAGGTGGACCACTTACTCCACTCTGTCCACAGGCCATCCACTACCACATAACAACAGACAGCATAGATGGACACAGTGAACAGGTGAACATGGGGAGAGGCGTGGGGTGGTGATGTGTGGAGTAGACAGCAAACAGTGGCATGTGCAAACACAGGGTTGCATCATATTGAGAACTCATCAGGCATAGCACTAGGACCACTGACAGGTGGAGCGAGAGACACAGATTATTAGGCAGCAGGTGAACATTTTGTTTCAGAAAACAGAAGGTAAATGGGGTTAGGATGTCCAACACTGAATCGAATGGCGGGAAGTTTGTGGTCTGCTGTTGTCAGTATTTTTATTGGTCATAGGAAGAGAAAGAATAGGTGGTTCAATCAAATAGACAAGCAATCAAGCCCACCAGGAATGTCAAGATTAATTTCTTCATCAATCAATATGATTATAATAGATATTGCAATATAATCACTTTTTAAATCAATAATGGTGATTATAACAGATACTGCAATATCATAACTTTTTAAATTTGAATTCTAATTAAATTTTGTTGTATGTTAATGCTATTTTGCATCTCCTTCAATCATTTTATAGAACAGAACTATTACTTTAGAAATAGAAAATGTCAATAACTGAATAATTGAAAGAAAAAATCCTTGTAACAATAACAGTATCACTAGGATAGGAGATGATGACATCCCTAGCGGCCTGGTCAACACTGACTGTAATAGTAAGGTGTCCAAATACAATGCATGCACACACCTACTCAGGGTTGCATTTATTGCACAGGGGGTCATGACACTTCACGTTATCACTACCGACACTAGACAGTGGATCATTTTGTTATGCCTGATGGTGATGTGTGTTAGACATGAAAACTGTGATCTCCATGGTAACGTCATGCCTCACCTGGACACAGTGGATTACATGCGAGCTTCTGAATGCCTTGCCCTTCACAGATTGCCCCTCCGTTGAGTGGCGCCGGGTTGGTACAGCTCCGTGTACGCTTCTGGTACCCACGTCCACACTTGCTGTTACACACTGACCACTCTGTCCATGTGGACCAGCCTCCATTCACTGCAAACAAGACACACTTATTACTATTATTTTTCCCAGTATGTTTTAGCTGTTCCCTGGAGAATTCTGTTGATTAATAATGGCAGTGAAATCAGGCGCTTATTGTGAATGGTACGGTGAAAATGAAGGACATTATGAACAGATAGCCCTCAGACTGAAAAGAAATTGATTATAAAATATAAAAAGAGGGCAGTCTGCATACACATTAACTGGCTGAGCAATATGGCAAAAATATCATCACTTTTTTTTTCAACTTGATCGATCTTGATTTAGTTGTTTCATATGAAAAGCAAATAAATAACAGGTTAATATGGTTCATGGAAGAAAACAAGAAAGACCTCAACTTAAGGCAACTACAGGCAAAACTGATTTTGAAATTGCCAAGATCATAATGTACAGTTTCTTTCTTATTCACCTGCAGTGTCTTGCTAACAAATTATCCTCTTTAGTTATTTAAAGAGGGGATATTTTACTTGCGGGGAATTAACTTCTAAAGGCCAATTTACGGTCCAGCGTCAAATCGTCTGCATCACGACGCAGAGAGTCTGCGTTGACGCGTACCCCCTACGCAGAGCCTCTGCATTGACCGACGTGCACCTCCGAAATTTTCTAACTACACGTCAAAACAATGCAGACAGCAGGGGAAGTGACGCAGGCAATAAGAGCTGTGATTGGTCCTCTGTACCACCGCTCTACGGACATTTCCTGTCGGCTTTCCTTTCTCTCAGTATATATTGAGAAATAATGTGTTTACTGCAGCTTTGCGCACATGTGTTTACGTTTTACAGAAACAAAACTTAAAACCACATGGATAACTTGCATAAACTAAGCGCTAAAAAAAAAAAAAAAAAGCCAGCTCGCTCCTGGTACGCGGTCAGTTTCTGTCGGACTTAAAAAGGACACGACTCAGTGGAATATGCATGTTCTTTCTGTGGCAGAGGGATGTTGTACTAATGGTGAGTCTGTTCTGTGCTTTTATCGCAGAGATGGTTCATGTTAAACTTTTCAGAGATTATACGTCTGCGGGTCATACACACAGACCGTATATATGAATGGACAGATATCGTCGGCCCCTAGTGTTTTGGCAGTGAATTATTTCACGGTGCATAGACCTCGATGCAGATCCATAAATCAAAAACGACGGCGACAAGGTAACGGCGGCTGTGCGCGTTGAGTCGACGCAGAACTATACTTCACCCTTTACATGTAACATATTTACTTTACCATGCTATCTTTTATTGTTTTGAAAATTATATATTCACAGAAAACAACATATTAATATGTTTACTATTGTCTTTAACCCTTTGCCCTCTGTGCTAAGTCACACCCCATTCAGAGCGCTGCCACATAACAATAAATGTGTATATTGCTAATGAAACTACTGCACATCGCATCAGGTTTGGCAAGTTATTTACAGTTTTGTATCATGTGTTTGTATATTGATAGAGAATTGTTGTGTGGGAGCAGGGATGATGTCACCTAGTGGGCTGAGCATTGGACAAAATCTTGCAGCTAACCATAAGGAGGGTTCGAACAGGACCAGGGAGAAATGCTAAATTACTGAAACATGCATGGATGACATTTAAAACCTCTTCAAGCATGCTTCTGATGAGGGAACAGTGTTCACAATACACAATATCCCCTCTTTAAGTCCAAACTCTGCTCCATTCAATATGCTATTACAGGATTGGCTGTACACATGTCAATTAAAAAACACTAATAAAATAATTCTGACTAAAATCCTAAAAATATAATTTGATCAATTGCCCTGCACCTCCACTCTGATAGTTAAGTCTATGTACAAAAAAAACAGTATGATAACCTACCTATACAATGGTCTGACCCTGGACTCTCACACAGTTACTCTTACACGCAGTCACGCAGTAAATTCTGGTCAGATTGCTACATTTTCCATTGGCTGATTCCTCCTAATGCCTCTCTTCCCTCTCTCATCCATCTCTGTCAGTGGTTCAAATCCAGTGCCGAGTGACACCCAGGGCTGGTAGCTCAGAACAAGTCTGTGGCATTTAAGATGGTGGATCTAGGCTACCCCTCGGAGCCTCAGCACTTTCAAATGTGACAAGATTATGAATGAGGCACAAAATACTGGACATTGGTATTTTTTTTTCTAGTACTGTTGTTCACCGGATGATTTTTCTTAATTTCACAACTTTTTATTACCTGGAGTACTATAAACAACATACTTTAATCAGAATGACAACTGTTTGTAGTAAACAACGTGTGAGACAGTAATGAGCTCAATGTCTACATAGATTTTATCGAAGAGATTTAAAAAACTGCCTAGGTACTTTTGTACTGGCTTTGTTCTATCCTCAGCTGATTATTTTTCTGCAGTGCCAACCTGTTTCTAGTATCTAAAGTATTGGACTACAAACCACATACTCTCCTGGCGTTCACTATTTCTCTTCCTCAGCTTTATAGCCTTTGTATTGCGCTCTATTTGTTTTCACATGCTCCATATTGTGTTGAAAATGTGTGAACGTTATGTTTTGCAAAAGCCAGACAAAGCAAATCCAAGGCCGACATAAACAGATGCAGGCCTCAGTGCAGCGCTCCATCTCAAGGATGCGCTGACTTCAAAGCACTTACAGGACACTTAGAGCTAATAGAACGCATTTATGGCACAACGCTGTGTGGAGTCAATGACCCTTGGATTCTCGGCTCCCATTTGCATCAACTTACACCTCAACAAACTACCAACTTCACATAAAGGACTATATGCTCAAAAGATAAACAAATAATATAACGTCAAGATCACAGCTGCTATGGAAATGACATACAATTTACAGTTTTTGTGCATGGTACATCATTTTGTAGTAATACATTTTGGCATGGCTACTTTTCTTCTCAGTCGCTCTACATTTGAATGAAACATGCATTTCTAGGATAAGCAGTAATTTCAAATCTCAACCCCAGTAAGGAATTTAACAGTGAATGATAAAAGCTTTTATGGATTTGTAACTACTGTCTTATAAACAGTGATGGGAAGAATACTTTGAAAATGTATTTAGTTACAGAATACTGAATACCTGAATTAAAATGTATTTTGTAACATTTTCTGATACATGGTACAATTAGAGTACTATATTGTGAATACTTGGAATACTTTTACTTCAAGTTGCATTATATTATAGGGAGGAAACATGTCATATAATTATAAACAATTTTATTTTATTTGTTATGCATTTATTTATGTTTAAATAGAGATAAAAAAAAAAAAAAACAACAGCATATGCACACACCGCAACAGCTATATTTTCTATTTTAACTAACACCATGCAGTTCAAAGTCAAAACTGAATGGTGAAGTACTGTCCAGTATTTCTTTTAATTTCAGAAAGTAACTGTATTTTGAATACCACCCACACTGCTTACAAATGCAGTGTAAAGCAGTTTATTTCTAATGGCATATATTTGTTGCATTGTTGCATGTTACAACAAAGAAGTAGCATTTTACTTTGTGCCTAGTTGTGCATAAGAATGCGCAACAAAATCAAATGAGTGCCGCAAAAAGACAACAGCTCAGGTTCTTCAGAGGAACATCTTAACTTCTAAATCTAACACAGGTTAAATTATCAAAGCAAAATTATTCTTCACACAAGCAGCGTCTCTACAAAGAAAAAAATCGTGCCTCATTCCTCCTTGCCCTCCTTGTCCTCCGGAGGGGATTGAGTTTAGATTTCAGAGCTATTGTTGTGTTAGCTGAAGTTACAGAGACAGTGGTTCAGTCTGCGTGAAACCTCAGCAGGTGTTTCTTTAAGTACGTCTCCACCACATCAGCAACTTACAATAACTGGGAAAAAAACACAAATCTTCTACTCCTCGCACAACAAACTGAGTGAGTGATCTACTCCACAGGAAAGGGGGGGATTTGTTACGCTATATGTAGGCTTACTTTGAAATGGCTTTGAATCAAAACACAACATCAGTATGAAGACACTGGAGACGCATCATGATGATTACAGACTGCAGTGTAAAGTAGACAGGATTACCATAGACAATAACAGTGGCAGTGGTGCTTCGGCGCTTGGCAACGATGTTCTTTGCCACACAGGTGTAGTTAGCTGTGTCGGAGAGGCGTGCCTGTTTGATGATCAGGTTGTGATCGATGGTGATGTAAAAGTTCCTGTCATCGGCAGGGTCAATAACCTCCTCGTTCTTTAACCATTCAACCTGGGAAAAAACAAAACAAAAACATGTAACTTACACATATTCATAACAGAGAGCCTTTTGACTTAAAGGTGCATTGTGCAACCTATCCGGTGAAGGGTTCGCTACCTAATTGTCTCCATGGAGATGTTATCGCTTTACCTGGAGCATTCCATGGTATAACTTTAAAGATATTCATCCAGTATTAATTCATTACATTACAAGTGTTTCTGTTGCTCAAAAATATAATATATATAATTCCTTCTCCACAGATATGAATTGCAGTGTAGTGGGGTGCTGTAACCTCTTTGACTCGTGAGTGGGTTTAATCTACACTGTGGAACATTCTAGACCAGACATGTCAGACTCAGGCCCGGGGGCCAAATTTGGCCCACAATACAATTATATTTGGCCCGCGAGATCATATCAAATATGTATTAGAGCTGGCCTGCCGGCTACAGAGACATTATTTATTAAAAATTTTGTTATTATTTTAAATTATGCTTGTTCTGGATTCAATGTTAAAGCTAACTATTATTAAACATTTATTTTAATAAGAAAAGGTGTAAAATTACATATCTCGAAAGATGAGAAAACATGCAGATGTTGAAGAAATGTTTCAATAAATATTTAGTTTTGGCCCACGACTTCCCAGTTTTTAATATTGGCCCTCTGTGAATTTGAGTTTGACACCATTGTTATAGACAAAGTAATAGCATTTTCATGGAGACAAGCAGGTGGAGGACCTTCCATTAGAAATGTTATGCAGTGCACCTTTAACCATATTACCCTTATATCATTTACCACCATAGTTTAATATTTTGATTTACTGATCCTTTGTTAAAGGTACACTATGTAACATTTCTGATGGGATGAATGGAAAGCACAATAGTATTAAACTTCTCCATTAAGATGAGCAGGTACACTACAGGGCCATGTTACACGTCAGATGTGTGTGAAGAGGCGAGCCCACTTTCAGAATGTATGCTTGTGTTTGTATACCATACTATACTGTACTATACTATACTATACTATACTATACTATACTATACTATACTGTACTATACTGTACTGTACTGTACTATACTATACTATACTATACTATACTATACTATACTATACTATACTATACTATACTATACTATACTATACTGTACTGTACTGTACTGTACTGTACTGTACTGTACTGTACTATACTGTACTATACTATACTATACTATACTATACTGTACTGTACTGTACTGTACTGTACTGTACTGTACTGTACTATACTATACTATACTATACTATACTGTACTGTACTGTACTGTACTGTACTGTACTGTACTGTACTATACTATACTATACTATGCTATACTATATTCTTTGCCTGTATGTTCTTACTGTTATTGAGTTCTTAGTGAGTTAAATTGCTAAAAAGATAACCCAACAACCCAAAACCTTTGCAAAACTTTTAGCTAGTCTCCTTGTTGTTTAGCATAGGATATAAGTGGCATTAAAATACAGGAAGCTTTTTCTATTGCCACTAGTCTGTGGGCTGTACAAATGTCAATAGCAACAATGCTCTTTTTCTTCTCTCTTAAGAACAAGGGAAAAAAACGACAGAAAAATCCCCATCTCCTCAGGCAGTCAGGCACCCTGACCTTTTCTACTGCAACACAGGCATTCAATTTGGGACAATATCAAAGACAACTGTCCCATATAAATGCCTTATTTTGCGTTTTTCCATTTTATTTGTCGCACAATAGCACGTATCATTGTACACTCTGCCACCAAGTGTTTTTCTTCCTCTGGTTTCGTCTATGTGTCTATTGTTAAGAAGACTGGGCAAACAGCTAACTTCCTGTGTATTGTGTTACCCCATGAGGACTACAGATAAGGATTGGGTGATAAGACACATACAGGCCAAGATAACTACGCTGTTTGTAAAGCCATTTTCTCATAAGAACCCCAGTACGCTCCTAAAAAGTGGGCCAATAACCTGATAGGACTTCCACAAAGACTAAATAATAAGGGAACTCTTTGTTGAAACAGCACGACAAGTCACTGTGAAGGTTCGTTGGTCATTGTTGTCATACCGGCATTGTGCTTTAAAAAGCGATGCACTGATTATGATAGAGAAACCAGACAGATAACGACTTTAGTGTGAGATAAATAAAAATACCAGCACGGTCACGCCTCGACAAGCGTTCAGATCTGTAATCCACTGGGAACACTACAGAGGAGCACAGGACTTTGGTCTAAACCCCAGCTTTGTTCAAGTCGGAGCATGTTGAACATATGAAGACATCTTCCCTGACAAACTGGGAGACTGATGTAAACAGGGCCTAAGCATAGATTTAGAGTAAACCACTGCACTGTCTCTCACTTTGAGGGATAGGGTTCCCTTCAGCAGCTGCACAAATTCAATCTCTCACACAAAGGGACTGTGTGGAAAAGATGAAGCACACGTTTTTCAATATTCACATTTCAAATGGAAATTTCAGTTGGATCAAAAACAGATCATATTCTTTGTGGAGCATGTGCATACTTTGAACATGTCGAGAGTCAAGAAGAATCGTTAGACTAGCCATTGTCCAAAGTGTAGCTGTTTTAAGTATGTGGGAGTCAGATGATACTCATGAACTTACAATAGGCTGTGTTCATGTGACATCATAACATTCTCGGATCACTATAGTTTAACACCGAGCTGAAGGAAAGGTCAATTATTCAGTGCTGTAATTTGTTGTTTAACTGTCAGAGTGGAGATTTGATTTCCATTTCCTGGTTTATGGTTAATATCTTTGTAAGCACCGAGTCCATCCACATGAAACAAAAACTGGGAAAAATTCTATGTTTGCTCTGTTAGCATAAATAAACAAAAGTGATTTTTTAATGTATTTATTTAATTATTTATTTTTTCATGATAGCTTTGGAAAGCGGTGCCATGTTTTAATCTTAGAGATGTGATTGTAGTCAGCTCAAAAGACTTTAAGCCATATGATTAATTTTTTTCTGGAACAAGTACTGAACAAACAATGATAAGGTTGAAATTTTGTGGATCATAAGTTTGGATAATTCTTTCATGGATAAATCTCCCATCTCGTTATTCAGGTCCCTGTCCTCCATCTGAAATTATGACATGATCAAATTTTAGAGCATCAACGCAACATATTAGGGCAGGGTTTGGAAAAGACAAATAAAGCGGCATCTAGTGATTGTCAATGATTATCTGTTAAAGCCAATCTTATTTATTATGACAAAGGAAACAACAGTGTAGTTCAATGAAGGAAACAAGCTTTTATGAAAGTAGCTGCATCATCAAATATTCTTGATCAATGCCATTTTATTAATAAGTACTGGCACACATAATCCTCTCCCACCATAGATTGACCCTGCACATGTTCAAATAATAAGTCCTGCTTACACAATAGATTTTCATCCATTTGTAAACTCAAAAATCTCACAAAAAATTGTAGCTTACTGTGCAGAGCAAGCTGGGAAAAGTGCCAGCAACCAATAATGCATTTTTACAAGAAAAAGCTTCTTCTTCAGGTATGGAACTTCTGTGCAGAAAATAATTTGAATTTCTTGCAATTTTAGCGGCAGGATAAATAAAATCTTTCATCGGACAATACAATGTAGAAAGATTAGACTCAGAAACAGCCACTGATAACTGAAACAAAAAGATGGTTACTTAAATTTGCAACAATCACCAAGGCTTCCTTTTTGGATGTGCTGCGTTCAGATGTCAAGAGCACTTCTAAACGAGAAGGTAATTAAAAATTGAACAAAAGAGCTGGCGTGTGCAGTGGTTCACAGATGGAGAGGAGGGAGAGCGATGCGGAGGCGAGGGAGTGAACACGGGAGGATCTCGTATCTCTCACAGTGCCAAAGTGAGCAACAGTTCAACTCTTATTCATTCAATTTAGAGCGCATAAGTAGGCCTCATAATAAAAACAGGTGTGCCGAAGTGCGCCGACATCAATCTGCCACCGGGAGACGCCACTCGGATCTGTGTCTCACCTCAGCTGACCTGCGCAGAGACGCCAACACCTTCTGAAGTTGAATTATTGACATGATGAAGAGGGAGCTAGCGTGTGCAGTCATAATGGAGTAAATAGGGCCCCACACGCACGTCTTGTTAGTGCCTGATTGGCAGCGCCACATCCGCGCGGCTAATTGGCACGCTCCTTGTCATTAACGCCGGGGAAATTGCCACATGTCAGCTGTCATAAAGACGGGGAGAGTTCGGGACAGAGCAGAGAAGAGGTGTACTGTGTAAGGGAAGGAAAGGCTATCACTGGTCAAGTCAAAACAGTTATACTAAGGAAAGTAGGTATTTTTAAAGGTGCACTGTGTAACTGTGTCTGCTTGTCTCCATGGTGATGTTATTGCCTGAGATGTTCCAAAGTATGGCATTAAACAAATATCTTGTATGTATTCAATTACTGATGTGGAGTCAAGCAAGTGGTGGACCTTCTACCAGAAAAGTTACCCAGTGCACCTTTAAGGAATGCTGCCTCTCAAATGAGTATTTTGTATATCTAATGGCTTCTTAAGAGGTCCAGCACTTATGGCCAGTGCAAATGATTATAGTTGGGGATGTCAAACAGAGAACGGTGCAGGGAGCAGAAAATCTATAATATTGACCTCAGTAAAACTTGGTGGTTATGCTGGCACTGACGGGCTGTGACCTTCTGTCCGTGTGCCCCAGAAAAAAAAAGGTCAATGCATTTATGTACACCCAAATCTGGGGAAAAAACTTTATAATGATGCCACTTAAAGAAATATATATTCATGTTTCAAAATAAACATAACTCATAACTCAGAGGATGCGCGTATCTGTATCCAGTGCCATCACTTGTTCTTGAGTTGGTAAAGTGATCTGGCGATGGACCCCTCCAGATGGAACATAGGAGTAACCTCTGTGTGGGCAGTGTGGTACAGCCGGGTGGCTCTGCTCACCACTAATTAGCCCAATATACTGAGCACACTGTATACATTCCTCTCACTTATTGGGAACCCATGCAAGGCAAAACCAT